ACCATCATTTCCACTTACGCTGATGACACATGTTTTATCAGTTAATAATGCCCCATTCATTGCTCCCCTAACTCTTCAGTAACATATCACAAACCTTGAAGAATGCCCTAGAAATTGTAGAACTTTTTTTTAATTATTTCTTAATGATATTTACAACTTTATTACATAAATACATCTAGTAAATTTGAATATATGGATATAATGACATGAAAACACTTGCTGAGTAACTACCCAATGATATGTCTACATTAGGAGATCACGGGGCCATCTTCTTTTCAGACGCCTCGGAGGGTTATCAGGAATTGAAGAGGAATCAAGGTTAGAAACAAGAGGGTTGGGATGATTCTGAAGTTTATTATGGAAGGATAGGTATCTGGATTGGGCCAGATCTGAAACAAAAGAAACATTAAGAAACATACATTATGGGTGGTTTTATTTCTAACAAAGTAGGGAGCATTGAGGATTCTACGAAGGATTTTGGATTGTAAGGATTAGATACGACAGGAATTCGATGGTTTAGTGGAGCCCCATAGCTCAACTCAGTAAGTCCAAATAGGCCTCATTATAGTCATGTATATGAGTCTTTTGCAATTAATTGGAAGTTGTCTAGTTGGAGCGTTTGTCTAGTAAGTGCTGAAGTAATCGGAATCGTCGATCGGTTTCTTGTCGTTTCAGTGTAGTATGTAAATTATAGGACTAAAATAAATTTCAACAAATCTCATCAAGGTATGTTTACCCTTCGCTGTAAACCAATGACTTCCTGTTCTATAATAACTTTTTATAATACTCCACTTATCCATGTTGAACAGATCCGCTACCCCGGACTCCATCTGGATAAACGTAATACTTTGAATCTTTATATGAGACTGAAACAACTAGACGTTCCGGCTATTTAAGTACTTATCAGACAAAAGCTGTAAATTTCCAATTAACTATTTAAAACAATCATTTACTTGAATATAATAAGGCCTATTTGGACTTTTGTCTGTTAAGCTTTACTTAAATCGTTAAACCATTTAATTTCTCTCGTATCCAATCATTACAATCCAAAATCCGCAATGTTTTTTACTTTGTTACAAATAAAATTATCCATAACGATCTTGATGTTCGGATATGTTGCTGATTTAGTCCAATTAACTTCAAGACCATGAAATGAATAGTATGAAAGACTTCTTTTGCTATAATTAAACGAAATCCTTGTTGAAAATATTTTATTAATTAATTTTATATTTATAGGTTGGACACTCTGTTGTCACTATGAAGTGATGAAGCCAATGAAATAGACAAGGTGACCACTATAAATATATAAAATTGTTATCAATCTTTATTGTATTCCGATTTATTAATAAAACAATGCATTCATTATATATTATAAATTATTTTACCTGAGGCCTGAAATAATGTATAGTTTCTATTTGATAAATTAAAGAATAAAACAAAATAAAAACTCACAATCAGTCATAAAGTAATAAGTTGTAATCTAAATCACCTATGAGAAAAATTTAATAAAAAAAAATTCTCATAACTTAGAAAATATTTGAAAAATAAATACTGAGTAGTACTGGAAAAAAAAGCCAAGTAGTTAATTAAAGAAATAATGCTAATCACAACCTAATTATTTCAAGAAAATAACTTAGCTTATATATATATATATATATATATATATATATATATAAACTTGAGGAGTAATAGTAATAAAAAGTTGATATATACAATAAGCCAATTTTCAGCAGAAAAGTGGCAAATCCAAATTTTGTGTATTTTTAAGCATGTCAGTTTTTTTTTTTTGTTGAATAGGAGGTGATGACTAAAGAAATATTTAATTAGGTAATTAACTATTGCTTCATTGTAAACTAGATAAAATTTAATTTAAATAAAAATAGAGTTTGTCGTTGTTAAAACCATCCAAAGAGGACTTATGAACAGCTAAACTAAGCTAAATTGTGTTTTTAAAAATGTCGCAATTTTTTTTATCATCATCCAACTATACTATATATACCCCACTTTTACGAAAACTTACCCGTTTAATAAGCTTTGAGTCCTTATTAATTAAGTTGACGTTTATTTGGTAAAAAATTGAGAATCAGCTAAAGTTGTGTAAAAACATTTTGTGGATTTTTCATCATTTCACTCAATGATTTTTTGCTGTTTTCAACAAAAAAGACTTCAATTAATAAATTAATGAATAAATCACTGAAAATATAATTTTATTCTGGGACCACAGTCTCCCAAGAATAATAACAGAGTTACATAATTAAGAACATTAGTCTGGCTTAGATGAATACTAAATGATTACTAATTAACTGTTGACTGATATTACAATTTTACAGTTGATTGAATTAGATTCTGTACAGGCGAATGTGAATTTAACATGTTTGCGGAAATTTGAAAATGGAATAGATGGTGGAAAAGGAGTTGTTTGAAGGAATTTGTGGAGGAGGACTGACCTATGTAGTTAGGTAGAGAGGTTTCTTTGTATAGATATAAACCAAAAAAAATGTACTAATGTTACTTTGTTTACTATTTTTATTCAAGTATGATTTAGATAGCAAACGAAATTAACATTTCAAATGACCTCTTTGTATTTTGTCAAACCAGACTAATGAACCAATGTTTTGTATCATGTTATTCTTAGGAGACTATAGTCCCAGAATAAAACTATTTTTTCATTCATTCATTCATTCATTCATTTCATTCTCATACATTCATTCATGGATTAAATTATCTAACAAAAATCATGGAAATTATGGAACAAAAATCGTACCTGCGTATTTGTGTATAGGATATTGCGTATTTCATCATTTCATCCTCTTTGTAATGAGCTATTATTCAAAATTATATCTCAACGCAATGACGTGTTTGGGAGCCGACAAGGAAAAAATAGTGTCGAAAACGAAATGAAAACGAGTTTTCCTTAAGATATGGATTAAAATATCTCAGAAACTAAAAACGAGACCTGCGTACTGTACGCAAGGGAAATGTCCAGTATTTCATCCAGTTTATTATAAGTGGTATGGTAGAAAATCTCGAACAACAAACGCTGATTTTTACCAAATTGCTTAAAAGCTAATACAAATTATTGTAAATGGCCCAGTAGCTCAGAAATGAGTTCCCTAGGGAGAATCAACTTGTGGAATCAATGTTGTAGAACATCAAATTATCATTTCCAAGCTACAGAGCGATTTATAGTAAATAGTAGGCCCGTGCAAAAATTCGCACAGTTTATTGTTCAGTGATCAAATAATAAATTAATAAGAAAATAAAATAATGCAATGTATCCTAAGACAAATAAATCAATTATTACTTTATCGATAAATATGATCGACAAAGGATAAAAAAACTAATTTAAAACTTCATTAATGTTTGGAACCAACATGTTTACAAATTTCAATAAGCTGTATCTTTGCTAAAAATAGTCCGATTTCGATGTTGTTTTTTTTCCTTTTGTAGGGAATTTAGTTATATTTTATATAATCATGAACATAACCTGGAGATAATAAAAAGTGTGTAATTTTCGAGTTATTCGCAAATAAATTTTCTTGTGGATGCGAACCCTTTGTCTTGCATTATCTCGAAAATAGTAAAACAAAAGCGGAGAGTACGATTCGCTAAACCCCAGTGAAATTCTGAATCCAACGGTACCCCTTTCATGGGTACCCGTAACCCGTTCATGGATACCCGTACCCCGTTCATGGGTAAGCTGAGTATTTGAGCATGACAGGAGCTTCTATTTGGGACAAAGCCGATTTCGAGCCTTACTGTAATAATATATGTCGGGATTTGTCTTAGTTTTTGACATATTAGGTAAAAATCGTTCGTTGATCGTGGTTTTCTTCCATACCATTTTATTAAATTATTAGGTTTAGATACTCGTTCGACGCAAACTTTAACGTTCTTTGATTTCTTAAAGAGTAAATTTTCCGCTTCGATGCACCGTTTAGGAGAAAAACACGTTTTTTTCAACTGTACAACGTTTTTTTCTGGTTGCTGTAGTTAGGAATTTTGGTTTCTACATGTTTAAACCCATAGACACAACTTAAAAAATAACAACTTCCTCCAAATTTTTCGCAAAGTTTCGATTCACAAATTACTGGCTTAATATTCTTTAAATCAGCCGCCATTTCTGAAAGCAGCGGCTCTGGAATGGCAGACAAGGTTCATTTTTTTAAGAATAACGTACACTTTCGTGATTCACATCAAGACCTTCGCCTGCGATCAGGTCGATTTTTTGGTTCTGGAAAAGGTAACCTCCTTCAATTTAGTCACTTCCGTTCCTCCTTCATTTCTAGCTAAATTGGCTGCATTGTCTTTTTTTTTCCAAAGTGGCCGCTTGTACCCAAACGAAGACATGTCATTGTGTTGTCAGTCGAAGCAATTACTTTATAGAAATAGAAAAAAAAAAAAAAAAATAAAAAAATAAAAAATATATATATATATATATATATATATATATATATATTTATAATGTTGCGTTCTTAAGTTGATTAAATTATTCATCAGTAATAATTTATATAAATAAAACAAATATTTCATTATTATTTTCTTCTTTCCTATATGAGACTTTGATGCGTTAAATATTTTAAAATCCGGAATTTCTATTTTAACCCTTTTCGGATTAGAAGAAATTAATATATAGCCACATGTTGGACTCATGGATGTAAATAAAGTAAAGTAGAAATAAAGAAATAATAACGGTACGTAAAAAAATATATTTAGATTAGGAAATGAAAAACTTGATCACTTACGTGATTTACTTGTGTTATATGAAACAGGAATAATTATTTTTTCAACTGTTTTATATATATATTTACTATAAAAATATTTTTATTTTTGCATACTTAAAAAAAAAAAAAAGCTGTTTTTCTTTCAAACATTTGTTGATAATTAATTAAACGTTGGTAAATCATCGATTAAAGTTCTGTTTTTAAAATGAAATAAAGAATTATGTAAGTACTCTTTAAATTTCAACAGTTATTTATAAAATTGTCTTAATGTTACAGTTTAAAAGAAAAGAATACTTAAACACGTTTGAACACACTTATAAGGAGATACAGTGGAATATTGCCATCAGTTCTAATATTAACATGAGGTATATATTGTTGCTTTTAGCAGTGACTGCTTGTAAGTTGGTAGCATAATAATTTATTTTAACAATGTACTTATTTTTTAAATTGCTAGAGACAGGGCCTAAAAGAGTACTCAATAAATAATGAAACTAATACTAATTATTAATATTTATTAATAATTAACTGTTACTATATAACTATTCATAAAATAAAATAAAGCCATCTTATCTTCTATTCCTTTTAATTTCTGTTTAGGTCTTGCCCATCGCATCCCAAAGGAACCTGAAAAAAAAAAATGTGACCCCATATTTTGTCCATTAATATACAGCCCCGTTTGCGGCAAACACAAAATACGAGTAAAAAACCATACTACAAATTCAATAATTTATAAAGAGAAGATTTTTGGAAATTTGTGTCAGATGAATGCTGAAAATGCATGTGGTGGAAGTAAGAAAATTTTGTAAATAAACATTGAATTTCACATAGTCCTATAATGTTACAGGTTATAGTAAGAGGTACAGACTCCTTTTAATGAAATTATAAACATGCCGCTTTTTTATTTACAAAAATCTTCGGAAAAAGGGCCTTCAATCTAGAAATCGGTAGACTTTGTCAATTTAATTTAAGGTACTAAAAACTCACGAACAAGTATTTGTTACTTTCCACCTCAATCATAAGATAATGTGATCGAACAAAATCGAGAAGAAAGGTGGCCTACAAAAATATTGGGCCGTTTGGCGTAACCTTCACCACAAAGATTTCAAAATAACAAGGTTATATAAGGCTGAACGGTACAATAGTTTTGCACCTTTTTCTCGATTTTGTGATCAAATTATCTTACGATCCAATTGGAAGGCAAATGGATATTCATCAGTTATTTTGTTAATTAATTTAATAAAAAAAGGGAACCATTTCTGCAAATTTTACGTTAAGATAATGTCATTCTCAAAGTTTTAGAGGGATGTTAATAATTTGATATAAAGGGGTCAGTACTACGAATATTATACTGAAATGAAAAAATTGTTTAGAAAGCCAAGACAACCTGATAAATTATATTCCGCTAGTTATATTTTAACTAAATCCTTATTTAAATATATATTTATAATTCTTTTTTTTCCAGATTGGACACTCTGTTGTCATTTTGAAGGGATGAGGCAATGGTAATAGAAATTTTGACCCCAACAAAGAGTTACGATTTTCATTGTTAATCTTTAATGTATTCTGATTTAATAAATTAATGCAATTATAATTTTTGTTTTGTTTGTTCATATATATATGAATAACAGATGTGTTTCTATGTTTTTATTATTTTACCTGATTTCTATAATAACTGCGATATTTTTAATTAAAGAGAAACTCACAAGGCTCTGGTGTTGCCCGAAATCGGTCTTGGTCTTGCACTTTTCTAGACCAAGATCAATACTGTTGAAAAAAAGTCGATTTTTAAAATAAAAATTAAGACAAAATAGTTACTAATATTTGACAATTTTAGTTACTATATTTAAAGAAGTGGTATAACCAATATACTTTTGCGTTTAACTCTTATAATTTTTCATACGGACTAAGTTAGGTTTTTCCTCTCTAAAAATTACTACACTTTGATCTTAGCCAATAGGCCGAAATGCGATGCATATGTTTTAATTGTTATTTTGATTATTTTAGTTCTTTTGTTTCCATACATTTATTTTTATTATTATTAGTTTCTGTACTATTTATTGTAAATAGAATGTGAGTGTGCTCTCTGAACACTATTATAAATGTCCTTGATTGTGACAGAGTGTAATATTTCTGAATAAATAAATTTAAAAAAAAATTACAGTAATATCTCTATAGTAATAAGTTAATGGATAACTGAGAGACTCTGGAGCTAGATCAAGACCAAGACCAAGGGCGCAAGACCAAGACTCGTCTTGGTCTCGTATTTGGGCAACACTACAAGGCATAAATTCTCAGGATTTTCCTCAAATTAAACTTTAATATAACCGTTGAAAAGGTCAGTTACTGCTCTTCCAACCAATACTAATAACTTTTAGATTTCTTTTTTGTTTTCAAGCTAGAATTTAAGAAAAACTTCTAACCCATTTTTATTTTATATATTTAGTTTTAATTTGGTTACAAAGATCGGGTTTACCTAGTCCTGCCATAAATATTGTTACAAGGAAATCTGTGAGGAAGACAAAGTAGAAGAAGAAGGAAATATATACAGATTTCAAAAGAAAAATTATTTTTTTCAAAACATTATTAGAAAATAAAATGTATATCTAAAGAGAGTAAAACAAAAAAGAATTTACTCAAAATGCTTTTGCCTTGACAAAGGCATTTAATCTCCGTGGCCAATCATCAATAGCAGCACGCTGCACTTCTTGAGGAAAGCGCTCAACTGCTCGGACCAGAGATTGTTTGAGGCTTTCCAAGTTAGGGTATGTTCCGTGGCATGCCATCCTCTCCTGTTCGGACCAAAGCCAATCTGAGGTATGTTCTTTTGTAGCGAATGCTGAGTTGACCTGGCCTTGTGAGCTGGAGAGGAATCCTGCTGGAAAATCCAATGACTTCCAGCAGAGTGTCGTTTAGAGGCTTGACAACAGGTTCTAAAATATCGTATTTATAGTTTTTAGTGTCAGTTTTAACTCCTTCACAAAAATGAAGCTTTGTGCTGCCATAAAAGCAAACTCCCTATCAAACCATCACTGAGAAAGGGTGGTAACCTCTTTCCACTCTTCCAATGACTTCCTGGGCTTCTATAGAGCTTTTTATTTATATATTATCGCATATTTATTATGCGAGACATTCATCTCACAAAGATTCTCATTTCACGAGACATGACTTTTTGTTTTCGAATGGGATTTCTTGTGGTTCGAGGAGCCGCTGCTCTCACTGCATTTGCCGTTCTCACAGTGCGAGGACGGCTCGGTCGAGGTCTGTCACATACAGATAGGATCTCATTATATCTATTTATAGTGCGGTACACGAACATACGGCTGATACCCAATGGTTCCAAAGTGTTGAAAATCTCTGACCTACATTTTCCAACTTTGTGTAAGTGTAACTGAGCGAAAGAAAAATACAAATTAATTGGGGTTATTATCGTGACGTGTAAAGAAAATAACCTGAAAGAGGTAAGGATTATCTAAATAATTTACCAGGATGTAAACAAAATTCAACTTTTGTAACAGTATTTATGGCAGAACTAGGTATATCATTTCGTGCAGCATGCAAAGTCCCAAATAGCTATTAATTTTTTTATGGATCAGTGAAGCCATTCGAAAGTTTTGTGGTTGCAGACGAAATTTCCAAGGGTCCAGCCCAGGCAAAAATTTCGTGCAGAAAATTTTAATTTTTCGATTGCTATAAAAATTCGTATTTAAGGATTTTTGAGTTGTGAAAAACTTATACCTTTACAGTGTCATCCACCAAATCAGCTAAGGAGGTTAGTTTCATTTTCATCAATTATTCTTTTATTCTTCCAAGATTTTTCTCAACTTTTTTCTCTAAATGATGGTGTAGACAATTAACTAACTACGTAACTTGTTTTTGTTTGTTAGTTTTGTTTCATTAAGCACAAAAACAAACTGCCTACTACTGGGATATTGATAATAGCTCTTGTTCCAGTAGTAGACAGATGTGTCCACTACTAGAAAACTCAACTTTTTTGTAGTAATCATTGAATATCATTCATATTTCTATTTTAAGCATGGGAGTGTTCATATTTTCCCCAGGAAATGTCTTGTTACTTTTTACATACAAATGTAATTTAATTTAAAAAAAATAATTTTATGTTTTTTGAATTTTTGAATTTTTTATTTTTTTAAAAATCATAGTTCCTTGGTAAAAACTGTCAGTATAAGTTCATATTTCATTAGAAATAAATTAAATATATTAATTGAGTGGTATCAACAAATGATGTTTTCTTGTCTACTAATGGTACACTGATGTCTACTATTGGTGAAAAATTACGGTGAAACGAATTATCGAGTCGTTCTCGAAAAAACGACCTAAATATCAATGTTTAAATTATCTTTAGGATTCACAAGGAATTTAGGTCACATAGAATAGAATAGAATAGAATAGAATAGAATAGAAGAATCAACTTTATTCGCGGACAAAGTCCCTTGAGAATAACAATATTGTACATAAAAATTAACATAACATCTGGCCAAAATGCATTTACAATAAAAAAAAAAAAAAAAAAGTAATAACAGAAGGATTTACATAAGTATACTGATATATTAAAGACATAATATGAGCAATAAGGTCCTAATACTGCAAGATAGTAACTAAAAACAATAAACTGTGGAATTTTAAGTGAAATGAACGACAAATTACTTTTGTTGTCATACCATTGTATTAATGAAAGAAATAATAATAAAAGAGTGGATAAATATTTACTTTAAATGATTTACATATGTACTTTAATATGTTCAAAGAATACAATAATAGTATTGTAAACATTATACAAGTCCTATATAATCTAAATCCTAAGATGTAGATTTATCGCTGAAAATAAAAGAAAATATACATATAGACGAGATTATATACATATATAATATACATGATAAATTGATACCCAGCGTCTGATTGAATTGTAAGGAGGAATCGGAATGAGAGTGTTTTAAATATGGATAAGGATGGCGCATGGTGGATTTTAAGTGGGATGGAATTCCAAAAGGTGGTGGAGTGGACAATAAAGGAGTGTTGAAATGAGGCCGATTTGTGGAAAGGGGTATAAAGGTCAGAAGGACGAGATCTTGTGGAGAGGGAGTGGATAGATGACTTGAATTGAATAAGTAGGACGTACGATGATTATAGATTATTTGGTAAAGGAATGCACCTAGGAAATATTGTCTTCTGAAGGAGGGAAAGAGTCACCCTAGTAGGAAACATGAGAACGTCTCGGGATTCCATTGACAAATCGTACTAAGCCATTCGTGACATAAGAGTGTTGTTGGACAAATATAGCAAAAAAAAAAAAAGCTTGAAAAGAATCTAACGAATTACATTTAAAATTATTGGAAGAGACTCACAATAGTGTCTACTACTGGTGACTTTACCATAATAGTTCATTGACAAGTACAATTTTATTGTTTGTTTTTTTTTTACTTGGTTTTTATTTCTAGATGCCAGTCTATTGTGCATATTTCTTGAACTTTGCCATAATTCTTAGGGTACTTTAGTCTCAGAATAAAATTATTCTTCATTCATATTATTATGCATGCATTAAAAATTTAACGGAATATCTAGTTTTAAAAATGAAAAATACGATGTTTATATCGGTTACAGACGGTTCGAAAACAGATGAAGGGGTAGGAATAATCACTGCTGTTTTATCTGGCAATCACGCCCACTTAATTTCGCTACAACCCTTCTACTCAGTGTACACCGCACAACTTCTAGGAATCAACCGCGCTGTTTGAAATATAAATACAAAGTCATATGTTCAGATTCTAAATCTGCCCTACAATCTCCACTAGACCCCTTTACCACACACCCTCTAATTACAGAAATAAAAATACGATTAAAAACATTGAAAGACGCTGGTTGTAGAGTATTGTTTTTATGGATACCTGGTCACAGTGGAATTCCTAGAAATGAAAATGCAGACACACAGGAGAAACGAGCAACAAAAAATATTCAAGTATTTTCAATAAGTGATCGCAACAAGATCTAATATCTTGGATCAATGAAGAGAGACGGCTGGAGTGGCAAAGCCAATGGTTTGGCCTGAGAGAAGATAAATTAAGAAAGATCGAACAATATCTTTAACATGCAAGAAAAAGTCTACAGCAATCACAGAGAGAAGAGGTAGTTCTTACCCGCCTCAGGATTGGCCATTGTCGACTCAGCCATGGATATCTGATGAAGAAGGAAGAACCGCCAACATGTTCCTACTGCGGATGTATTCTATTAGTGCTTCACATACTAACACAGTGTAGTATGGCTCACGACTCCTACAGATTTTTCACAGACCCAGAACAAATATTGAGGCAGGACCCAGACACGACTTCACGTCTTATTAAATTTTAAAAAATCGACATTTGCAATAAAATTTAAAAAAAACTTCAAGAGATTTCAGTATAAATGACCTGACTGGTCGAAACACTCAAACAAATAAATAAATATCATTTTTCGAATAATTTTAGTTTTATTATTACACAAATACCATAAGGACATTTGTTTTTATGATTTTAACTGTAACTGGTAATATAAGAATCAATATGAATAGATAATTCCAATGATACCCCGTCTCAAGATAAAAGTCTTCCCCTCAAAAAATAAATGATTCATAGCTGGCAATCAATGTGGAATGAGAATCTGCCAAGCAAATTAAAAGAAATTGGTCAACAACAAATCGCCATAACCGCAGAGAAGACATCTTAACCAGACTAAGAATAGGCCACCCATCTAACCCATTCACATCTCATTAGCAAGCATCACAGTGTCAATACTGCATTAACACTAAACATACCATAACGGGTCAAATGACCCATTTTGAACTTTTCCATTGAAAATGCACGTATAATTTTATTGCGTTTGCACATTTGACTTCATGACTTTTTCTAAGTAATTAATGTACAGTTATAAAAATATTTTTGTTTTGTTTTGTTTTGTTTATTCTGAGTAATCCTTATTGTATACCGATATCTACCACAACAGGTCATTTGACCCGGAGAGAATTTTTTTGTTTTATGAGATTATCTAGTCATATTTGTAGTCAGTAAGTTGCACATTCTTCCAAAGACTGTTGCGTAAAGTAGTTCAACAAAAATAGCTCAGAATAATTTCAAGAAAATATCAAATTTTAGATTGAAAATAGCTTTTTAGTGTAAGAAAAAGTGGCAAAAATTGAAAGTCTTGGTAAGTACCTAGCTTATATTTTATTTTGATAGCTATAGTAATACAGATCATTTTTTACCAAGAAAAATGTCGAAGCAAACAAGACAGTACAAGTTATTAGAAGATATGAATAATATTGGCGAAGAGTTTTCAGAAATTAGTGAAGATGAATTTTCTGAAAATGAAGATATATCGGTTGCAAATAAAAATGAGTTTGATTCTACAGATACTGTCGATGAAGAGGAAAATATTGTGAATGTATGTAGTGGCCGAAAAAGAATAAGATTACTCACAAGTTCGGAAGAAAGCGAAGTAGAAATAAATGAAGAAAATGTTGCGAATGATGGATCTGTTTGGCAACAAATGCAAGTAGGTGGCACACCTGGAAGAGCACCACTGCGATGAACTATGAATTAAAAGTTTTTATTTTTTGCTTTTGTAATAGAAATGCTCAACATACTATTTTGTTTAATCATAATAAATTTAATTTATATTTTTATTTCCTTCCTAACATCCATATTTCATACATTCAAGCATGAAACATAAAGTCGGGTCATTTGACCCGCTATGGTAGAAATAGGTATATCTTAAGTCTTGGTATGATTAGTGTTAATACACTTACAGTCAGAAACATTTTACAGAAATGTCCTTTTTACGTATCGGGTCTAACTAGTTCAGTATTTACGCCTCAAATAGCAAACATTTGAAGGGATGACGAAGACACAATAAACTTAGTGGTAAGTTTCTTGAAAACAAACGATTTGTTTAAAAAAAATTCAATCCCGAGATAAACAAAATTAATTTGTAGGCTTGATGACCTTCATGTCTTATTAGCCATAAAACCACAACAAACAAACACATCAATTATACATAAAAAATAGTAATTAATTTTAATTTCCCAGAATATTATGTATTTTAAAATATTAATTGGGGGATAGCGAAATTCGTGCTGATAAAGTAACCACATATATATCACGTCTAGTAGAAATATAAGGATGTCAGAAGGAAAAGAACTGCACAGTTGATATATTCATCTTCTTTCAAGATGATAAGAATCATTACATTCGCCTTTATTATTACGTGTAAGTTGCATATATATTTTATTTAGTTATGCAATTTAATCTAATACTATTTCCCTTTAAAGTCTAATAATAATGTGTCACTACAAAGAAAAATGACGAGTTGAAAATGGGATGAATAAATACAAGAGAATATTATTGTAGCTAAGTATTTTTGAATATATTTTTTCCATTTGTACTCCGCGGTACAATACTTTTTATGAAATTATTAACACCAGCCTAAATCTTCGTGAATGATTTCATCTTATCGTAACTTTTATATTTACGAAAACTCTCAGAAATAGGGCGTTTTCAATCTGAAGATTGCTAAACTTTGTCTGGTTAATGAGGTGCTATGAACTCATGAAAATCCATTTGATTTTCACTTGAATCGTAAGATAATTTGATCAAGCAATCGAGAAAGAAAGTGGCCTAAAAAAATATAGGACTGTGTGACAGGATCCTCTGAGCAGATTAAAGAAGAAACAAAGAGATTAGGGATCCGAGAAGATTATTACAAAGACAGAGAGACGTGGGTAGTTTCTCAACAAGTGATTTCATGTTATTATATTCCTGAGTGAACATTTATTAGTTGTATTTTTTTATAATACAGTTGTAAATATCAATGAATAAAAAAAAATAGTGGACTAAATTGTGCTCTGTTGAAAAAAAAATTGGAAATTCAGTATTTAATGTGATTCAATGAGGTTAATATTTATATGATATTAAAGAATATTTAATTTTATTTCAAAAAGAAGAGTTTATTAAAACTCTTTAGAGCCATTTTCGAGAAAATTTAAGAAATCCGTAAAACCGACTATACAAAATATCATTTCTGGTAAGTCGAATTTGACAGAAAATCTACAGTAATCGTCAATGGTTTTATGAAATCATTAACATCCACCTAAAACTTCGTGAACGGCTTCATCTCATCGTAACATACAACTTTTTTATTTACGAAATTACTCTGAAAAAATCTTTAACACCTATTTGCTTTTCACTTGAATCGTAAGATAATTTAATCAGAAAATCGAGAAAAAAAGATTTCAGCAAAAATAATGGCCTGGCCGCCGTTATCTATATCCTCCAACACGAGGATATATATGCTAAACGGCCCAAAATTTTTGTATGCCACCTTTTTTCCTCATTTTTGTTTTCAAATTATCTTAGAATACAAGTGGAAAGGAACTGGGTGCTCATGAGTCGCAAATGCGGTAGAGAGTCCGAAATACCATCTTATGTGCTAGGAAAATGCCCCAACAACTCCCTCCTCATAAGAAGTTGGCAAAATAAGGTCAAATTCGAGTTGATGAGGCTCCTTAGGGAAAGGAAATTCACATGATTCGACGAGGTATCGATAGTGATGGCTCAACGAGATATGCGGATATAGTTGCATTTTCCAGGACCGGAAAGGTGGCACTGGTCTTAGATCCAATATTCGCTATGAGAGCAATGATCTCGATCAGGCCAGTGAAGTAGAAAAAGAAAAGAAGGAAATATACGACAAATGTATCACTTTTCTAAAAGAGAAATTCCACGAGACCTTCGGAGAGAGAGAGTTCACCGTGAGAGCCCTCTGGTTTGGGTCTCGCGGAACAATTCCTAAAAGAACAGAGAGATTCTTCGAGGAACTAAGTGTTGATGTCAGGGAGCTTGTTGGCCGAGAGCATAATTCTGGACTCCCTTTGGATCATTCATCACCACATGTAATGGTAATTAGGGGTTGATTATTGATATTTATTATCATTTATTCAATTTTAAATAATTTAACTAATCATATCTTTGTATCTGGTGTTCATAACATTATGTAACTTGCTATGCGTGCATTCTAATTTTCTAATTTTGGAATCTTGGCATTCGAATATCTTTTTATTTAATTTTTCTATAAATTTCAGAGATTGTTTTGTATCGGTTTTACTGAAATATATATATATATATATATATATATATATATATATATATATATATATATATATATTTAAACTTAACTATTAAATTGAGAATAAGGTCACTTATTAATTATTTAATAAACTATTGAATGTTCATTTTTTCTATGTTTATTGACGTTTCGATCCAGGTATTTTCTTTTTATAAGTCAACGATGGGATCCTCTTCAAAGCTAGAATTTTAAAAAATAGAGCTTTGATCAGGCCAGGGACACACCGACAGTCTCAGCACCATCCACTAGCACATATATTAGGGGGCACATATATTTATTATAGGGGTGTGTCCCTGGCGTGATCGAAGCTCTATTTTTTAAAATTCTAGCTTTGAAGAGGATCCCATCGTTGACTTATAAAAAGAAAATACCGGGATCGAAACGTCAATAAACATAGAAGAAATGAACATTCAATAGTTTATTAAATAATTAATAAGTGACCTTATTCCCAATTAAATAGTTAAGTTTAAATTTAATACTCAAAGGTCGATTAAGGAAAAGTCGTAAATATATATATTGTATAATTGTAATTATTTTGGGTTTTTTGGAATTAAGTTGGTTGGAATGTGTATATATATAAATATGTGATTCAAATATAATTAAGTGCTATGTCCAAAAAAAAAAAAAGGATTGTAGAGTATGCTTTGTATAGAGCAATCCTATATAGTAGGGCAGCACTGCTTTAAATAAAGTATTTCTCTCTCTCACCAAATAAAATTATTTAATAAAATCAGAAATGCCCCATTTCTGACAATTTTTGTATACAAAAAAGTTATGATAAATCATTCGCGAAGTTTTGGATGAGGGTTAATAATTTAAAAAAAGTTATTTGATCTCAAGTGATATTAAAACATGTATTTCAGTAGATAACTCGGGTTCGAATTTACACAGGATCACAATACTTTCCCTTAATATATATTTCATACATGTTTAAGTGAAAGTAAAATATCTTTATACGAAAATTGACAAAACTGTATACTATTTATAATAAATTTTCATTTAATTTTATTTATTTTTATTTTTAAATTATGTCTTCAAATTAAGACTGTTTGTTTTTTTAAACCATTTATATTTGTTTTTCTTTTAAAAGTAATTTCAGATGTAACCCAAGCTCACCAAACGCCTCAACCTACGTGTAAATCCTGCGAGCTTTGTAGACCCGAAATATGTCCACGTGACTTTGTGTACGATCCCGTCTGTGGAAAAAGAGAAATAAAGGGCAGAAAAAGAGAAAAAAAGGACGGAAATAAAGACCAAGGTGTAACCTGGTGGGAGTACAGAGTCTTCGAAAATCAATGCGAAATGGATAACGCTAATCTTTGTGCAGGAGGTGCAGTTCATTATTTTATTTATATTTATAATTATATTTTATTAAATCTATTTATAATTATAAATTATTATAATGATTAGATACCGAGTTTTGGTGCAGAAAAATGTCAAAAATCGAGAAGAAAAACTCCAAATGTACAAAATTGTGTAGTAAATATAGAAAATATTTAAAATTGTGTAATCAGCACCTAAAACGGACGAAAAACTACTTTTTTTGTTTAATTTATTGTATTACCATACCGAAATTTGATCAAAAATTGTGTTAAGCTTCTTAATTAAATAATTAAAGAAAAAAAAATTAAAATGTAACATTAACAATGAAATTCTCAAGAGTTTTTTGGCAACTTCAGAAATACACTGTAACATCTGAGATTTTCAAGCGTTTAAATATTCGTGTTGATGCTGTTTTTTTTAGATCAATAGAAAATGTTTGTAGGACTTTTCTAAACCATTTCTAAAAGACAAAAAACAAATTTCAACTCGGAGTAATTTTATATCCAAATTTGTATCTTTTTTTTTTAAGTAAAAACTTTTTTTTTTTTTACAGTTTATTTCTTTACATATTAACAGTTATTATTATTTTTATTATTTTAATTTTTATATTCCATCACAGCAATGCTTTGCATATAAAATTGATTTTGCGTTCCTTTCTAATTTCATTCAGTGATTATTATGCAATTATTTTAGCTCCAATATTGTAGTAATGAACCCCTATTACCCAACTGTTCTCGCTGATTTATCCTAACAGCTATTATACTTAATTTATTACTAGTATTTTGTTATTATTCATTGTAATAGGTCTTTTGGCCAGATTTATCGTTAATTTATATGAACAATACTGTTATTCTAAAGGAACCTAGTCCCAGAATAAAGATGATTTTTCTATTCTATTCTGTTCTATTCTAGGCGTGTTTTTGAGGAGTAAATTAGATTGAGTCGTCAGATTTCCGATATGTAACGATCGGGTAAAGTCGGCTGAAGTCGACTAATTGAAGTCTTTTTGCATATGAACTAGAACATATCAGAAATATATCGGACATGCATACTGAAAGCGAGGGAAATGTTCTGCATTCCATCCTCTTTGCAATGAGCTATTATTCATAATTGTATATTAACGTGATGCCGTATTAGAGAGGCAAAAACGGAAAAATATAGTGTCAAAAAGCAAATAAGAACGATTTCCATAGTAATTATAGTCATATAGAATATGATGAATCAACCTAAAATAATAAGAATATACGATCATCACATATTTTAGTTATCATAAACCACCTACCTTCATTTGAAGAGTATGATACTGAATTAGGGCCAGTTGCTCCAAATCAGTAAAGCTTAGATTAAGCATTATCTAAGATTAAACCAAGTTTTCTAAGGTCGACCGATCAAGATTAAACTTGGTTTAACCTTAGATAATGCTTAATCTAAGCTTTACTGAGTTGGAACAACTGGCCCTTAGTATGAGCAAAGTTTACTACAGTAATTTAACGCAAATATAATTGTATAAATTGTGAATGTTATTACTTTTTGAATATAGGACAAAAAAATGTTTATATTTCATATTATTAAGTCCGCCTTATGTTTTCACTTCTATCTATGATCGATCTTGTTATAACACATACCGTACATTTTTGATTTTTTTTTTTTTTTTTTACGAGAGAGTAGATCATACTTTCGGCATCATTCAATTATTTTTTTTTTTAATTTTTAATAATAATTGAATTACTACAATTTAAGTCAAAGCCTGAAGCGATAATGAATGAAGATTAAAGTCAAAACAATAATTTTTTTTTTATTCATGAAATTTACAACTGTATAAATTAAATATACATCTTGTAAATGTGTACACAGAAATACAATAGCATGACAAGAATTATAGAAAACCTATCCATTGGGAATACTTTAATAAATAACAATAAATCTCTTTCTAACAACACAGCTTCTTCAATGAACGCATTTTTTTATTGTTATCCAATACTTTAGGCAAGTTCTATTCCAAGAATATTTCCCATTTCTATTCACTCCTTCCCTTTGTAATGAAGAGTTAAATTCGAACCATTCGTTTAAAATCACTGAATTATTTACCATACACATAGATTTATCATCTAATCTTAGAAAAAATATGCAATTTGATGCAACAAAAATCAAAATCTTGTGATTTAGGTCAAAAACAGCAACGGGTGTAATGTTATTCTACAGATCATGAAACGGAGAGATAATCAGAAATAAATTTTCACACACAAGGGAATAAAATGAAAATCCGGTCTCTTATAATGATCTATTATAAATAATTTTTGTTATATTTGGATAGAACCTGCAAAAAGGCATTACAAGAATAGTGATTTTTTGGAGATCAGAGGGTTTTGAACAAACGAAAATTAAAATGTTTATTTATATATAATGTTTTCAAAAATTGTTTATTTATAACATTAAAGCTCATAAATAATAAAAATAAAGAGAGAAAATGGGTTGAGAAACAAAAAAAGGTAATGAACTGCTTTTTTTCTTTACCTATTTATGTAATGATATACATTAAATGGAAGAGGAAGATATAAAATATATATATTTCATTAAAAAAAAAATATATTAATTATTTTCTTTAAAAATGTAAACATATTAATATTAAATTTTTTTTCAGGTTATCGTCCTTGCTGTTGGTTTAAAGAAATGATGAAGCCATCTAAAAAATGAAGTCTTAGTTTCTATTCTTCTTATTCAAAATAAATATTTTGAAATATAATACTGTTTAGAATTATTTATTTCTCATCTTTTTACCTATCTGCAATCTCAACTAGGATATTTTTTTAATCAACGTGACTTACGCAAGTGAAGTAAAAATTTACATGTAGTTCGTAATTCTTAATATGAAATACGATCAATTAAAAAATTATGTAAAATCGTAGGAATATACAGGGTGTCGGTTTTTAATGTCTAAATACTAGGAAGTGATTCTAGACAAAATTTTCAACAAAAAGTTGATTTGATCAATGGTCCGATTCCGAACATGCATAGTGGTCAATAGGTCAAAATATGATCAACCTTTTCGATTCGTCTATGTTTCTTGTTTAAAATTAATATAGATATGATCACTGGTAGTGTTGCCCAAAATCGGTCTTGATCTTGCACTTTGCAAGACCAAGACCAAGATCACCTATCTGTTTCAAGACCTGGTAAAATAAAATCGATTTTTTAAATAAAAATTAAGACAAAATAGTTACTAATAAATCACAATTTTAGTTACTATATATAAAGAGTTGGTATAACCAATATACTTTTGCGTTTAACTCTTATAATTTTTCATTCGGACTATGTTATGCATCTCCTCTCTAAAATATTACAGTAATATGTTTATAGTAATATTTTTTTTTTTTTTTTTTTTTTTTTTTTTTTTTTTTTTTTTTTTTAAGAAAACAACGTATAAATTTACTAAGGATGATGATAAAAGGGTCTCTCAGGAAGTCTAATACGGCCGCTGTACTGTTGCTCATGTATGAGTACTATGACTGCTGTATTAGTAGGCCGTATTAGACTGGCTGAAAGTACCTTTTATCATTGACCTTAATAAATTTAAAGTCTATTTTATCATTTAATCATTGTGTCTACTTCACGATGATGTACTTAAGATTTAATTATTTTGAACAGTTTTTGAGCAATTCCTTCTTATTCAATATAAACCGTGACTAACTTAAGAAAAACACAAAATGGGTCTTAACTCGAATTCCGTTCGAAATCGGCCCAAGAGCCGAATCAACTATTTTGTTTTAATTTTTTTCTAGAATCACCCCCACCCCCCCCTCACATACCGAGTTTAGCCATTTAGAACTGAGACACGCTGTATCAAAGAATATCATTGCTAAACTTATAAAAGTACAAAGGGTATACCAAAACTTAAAAAAATAATTACACTGATGCCTTTAAAAATATTTTTTTCATACGGTATGGTTATATATTATTACGTTATGTATAATAAAAAAAAAACCTGTACCACTAGAACCCATGAAGGGTCTTGGGTTCAGTACTACTTAGGGAAATCACTGTTTCTTGGTCTACGGTTATACAAGGAGGGGATTTGACCGAGATCACACTCAACCGTCAGGTTATTCCCCTTAATTAATTATTTTAATTAAGGGTACCTACTTTATAGAGGCTAACTGTGCCCCAGGAGGTTATACCTACCCAGAGTCGCCCCACGGCCAATGAAACAGAATAAATAAGTTTTCAGCCATGAGCCGGGATTCGAACCTGGAACCTTTAGCATTGGAAGTTCAGTAGAAGATTTATACGGAAAGTATAAATAACTAAAGTATTAATCTAGTTCCCCCGTTAAAAGTAGGGTATTGTAAGCAAAGCTAATTTTACGCTTTTTGTAACAAAACGTAAAAACAAAAACCATTTTGGACATTGTGTGTGTGACAGTCCTAAATAAATGTGCAATTTTATTTATTTAATTATTTATTGAGTAATATAACATTCTGTCATTTGAATAATAATTAAAGTGTGGTAAGACTACATTCCCACAATATGTCTGAAATATATTACAGAAGCAAAATAACAACTAAATAATAATCAAAAACTATGCATTAAAAAAAAAAGTAGACATTTAAATGAGGAAGAAGATGGTCCCGGATGATGGTCATAAAAATACTAGTGAAATAGTCTGAATAGTGAAAAAATCTATTTTATTTCATGCCAACGTTTCGATCCGACTTCAAAGGTCTTCTCCACGGCCAGAACGAACAAGATACAAAAGGATATAGAAAAATGTGGAAGTTACATGATATTTAGATAAAAATTATAAACAATACGAATAAACTTATTAAAATTACAAACAATGTGAATAGAAATTACATAGAAATATTAGGAACAATAAATTATATAAACAGAGTAAACGAAGTATAACTAACATAAATAACCAGACCCTAAACTGAAGTAAATAAATGGTAACTATTATTTTAGATTATTGAAGATCGGGAAAATTTAATGTAATTAGATGGATGTATAATATATGTAATTATGAATATAACCCTACAAATTTCAAGAAAATATTGAAAGAAAAAGGAAAAATAATAAATAAATAATTTATTTTAAACAATTTTAGTATTTTTATGACCGCCACCACAGACCACCTCCTTTCTCAAAAATATATAACGGTCAACCATTAAGTATTAAACAGACATTTTAAATTAGAAACACAAAACAACCTTTTAGAGTCCAAATATTTACTGGTTAATCTTAGACTTGTTTGAATTAAGGAACTCAAACCACAAACATTATTAAAAAACATTACATCTTTCCAGTAGAGGATTTATGATTAATTATTTTTTTTAAGGAGGTGGGAGAGGGAGTTATTTTTTTTATAACGATAATTAAAAAAATTATATAAAAAAAAGATATATAATACTATTTAAGTGGTCCTTGCATATAGTCATGATAAAAATAATAAAATTTTAAATTAAAAAAAAATCACTAACAATAATGCTTTTGTGGTTAATTATTTTGTTGGCAGCTGCTTATATTTAGTAGCTGTCAGCAAAGGCGGATCTACATAGGGGAGGGGGAGAGAGAGGGGGGAGAAGAGCTTTCGGGCTGAAGCCCCCCCAAAATGGTGAAATGTAACCATATTTTATGGAAAATAATATTAAAAAATTATCTCTTAATGTATTATTGTTCGTGTAATTACATTTAATAGGATTTCAAGAATCACTTAAACACCTATTTCATAAAGGTAGTTAGTATCTTTCTTTCTTTCTAAAGTAGTCATCGTTATTTATATGAAAAAAAAATTCCGACTGTAGCAAAATTAAATCCTGGATCCGCAAGTGGCTGTCAGTATATGTGCTATAATTTAGGAAGATTATTACTTATTATAATAATTTTAACTCTTAAATCACTTGTAGCACAGCAAATATTGACCTATGAAAAAAAAATATTTTTTTTTCTACGCCATATATCAGTAAGAACCTGAGACTACGAATATTATACTCACTTATTTCAAGACGCTCAAAATTAAACTTAAAAGAGAAACTGAACACTTACATTCATTAACTTAAGCCTATACGCTTCAGGTGTACAGAATAGCTAAAACCATATAAAAACCACAAACTTTTCAGTCAAAGGCTAAAGCTCCATGGTACGTCATAAACATTACTTTACATAAAGTCCTTCTCATAAAAACATTTAATGACAACATATAGACATACTATAAACGATTTCACGATAACTTACATGGACATACTAACACACTCATACAAGATATGGCTACAATTAACTTGCCCGAAAACACGCTAAGGAGGCTAAAAATAAGCTGAATGAGGGAACTCCTCGCTTAAAAAGTATACTAAAACCAAGATAGGTAGGTATGCCGCTGGGAACTCACGCCGATCAATGTTACTACCAGTATTCTTCCCGACAGCAGACTCACTGATTGTCAATACTTCTTACAGATTGGTAAAACAATTAAGTTAAAAAAGAAATTATATTTTCATAGGGAGAAAAGGGGAGGGCTTCAACCCGAAAGGCCACACCGTAAATCCGCCATTGCATCTTCGTCTTAAGCATGCAATAAAAACTAAACAGAAAATCTAATTTTTAAAATAAAAAAAATTGGAGTTTATTTCATTTGATAAATAATTTTAGTGTTAATATTTAAAGTATACCAGACCGAAACGACAAGAAACCGCTCGACGTTTCCGATTACTTCATCACTTACTAGACAAACGCTCTAAACTTCTAATTAATTACAAAAGACTCATTTACATGACTACAATAAGACCTATTTGGATTTACGGACCTATTTGAACTTGAGCTATGGGGCTCCACTAAACCATCGAATTCCTCTCTTATCCAAAATCCTTCCTTACAATCCAAAATCCTCCTTAAAACCCTCAATGCTCCCTACTTTGTTACAAATAAAACCATCCACAATGACCTTAATGTTTCTATTGTTTCAGATCTGGCCCAATCCAGATACCTATCCTTCCATAATAAACTTCAGAATCATCCCAATCCTTTCGTTTCTAACCTTGCTTCCTCATCAATTCCTGATAACCCTCCGAGGTGTCTGAAATGAAGATGGTCCCGTGATCTACTAATGTAGACATATCATTAGAGTGCCTAACCATTGGGTAGTTACTCAGCAAGTGTTTTCATGTCATTATATCCATATGTTCAAATTTACTAGATGTATTTATTTAATACAGTTGTAAATATCATTAAGAAATAATAAAAAAAAAATTTAAAGTGGAACAGTTTTGTTATTTCAGATCCATAATTGCAAGTATTGGGAGAATAGAGAAAGAAATCCAAAAAAGGATCATAAATGATAAAAAAAAGCAGTGAGAATCCTTAATTCTTTACTCTGGAACAACAAAATTTAAATAAAAACAAAAAACTAATATACAAAGCTTAATGCTGTATGGATCGGAGGCATGGCCCCTCTCCCAGGAAAAGAATTCCTTTCAATTGAAATGGATTTTAGGAGGAGAGCTGCTAGGATATCAAGGATCGAAATGCCACTATGAGGGAGAGACCGAAAATAAAGCAAAATATCCTAGAGGTAGTGGAAGAAAGGAGACTCAGGAGGTATGGCCATGTGAGATGGATTGGTGATGATAGGATACCTAAGATAATTATGGATCGGGGGGCAGAGGGTAGAAGAAGGAGAGGAAGACAACCAGTTAGATGGAAGGATAGGAGGAGGTAGGGGACTGTTCGAGGAGGATACCATGACCGGCAGAGACGGAGAGACTTGCTAAAGAAGGAGTTAGTTGAGGAAAACTTCATATTGAAGAAACTCCGAATAAATTTTGAAAAATAAATAAATTTACTTTTTGCTGAAATTTAATATCTTGTATTGTATAATATATAGAACAAACATTGTATACAGTGCCAAAGTTTAAACAACAACGGTTTTTTTTTTTTTTAAGAGAATAGCTTTGTAATAAGGAATCAATATAAAAAATATAATAATGAAAAATTAATGTATAATTAAAAAAAAAAAAATGAAAGTGATCGACTATGGTGCAATAGTCGATATCTTAGAAATAGTAATTAATATTAACTGCCAAGCCTATTTACGTATTTTGAAAAAATTAAATAGAGCATAAAAAATATACGTGCTGATAAATAAACAATATATATATCACGTTTGCGGGAACAAAAGGCATGTTATGTTAAATTATGTTAGTAGAATAAGAACTACACAGTTGATATATCCATCGCCTTTCATGATGAAATTGCTCATTTTCGCCTTCATTATCACGTGTAAGTATCATTAATGTTTTTTTTTTTTAGTAATTTAATGTAATCTAAGGTTACTGTCCCTTAAAGTCGCATTATACTAATGCGTCACTCTAAAGGAAGATAGCTCAATCGCGAAAGGGGTGGGATATTTCTGTAACGCTGCAAATTATTTCACAGTGGTTCATTATTTCCAAAAAATTATACATTTAAAATAACATTACCTTCCTAGTTATAAAGAAAAATAAATAAAAGGTGATTCCAATTATTGGACTAAAGTTTTTTTTTAATCATTAGTAATATGCTAAAAAATTAGCATTACTTCAGTAACATATTCAAAATTTAAAAACCAAAATAAAAGATATATATATATATATATAACCTTTGCAGTAGAACATCTAAAAAAAAAAAAAACTAGCGACCATATCTTTGCTCCTAATTGTCCGATTTTAATGATTTTTTTTTGTTTTTTATTCACAAATTTTCTCACAAAAACTCGGAATTTAATTTTACCATCCCTCGTCACTTTTTTCCCAGCTTCTTTTCGTTGAAATATGTTATACAGATAAATTTAAAGGGTATCGAGAAAATGACTTTAGCGAAGTTTAATTGAAATCGGTACATTCGTTTAGGCGCTACAATTATAGCAACGCAGGTTTTTCGGCAGCCATTCCGAAACTAAAAGAAGGATAGTAATGTCGATGAAGGAGGATCATCCTCGGGCGACTTCTGATTTTATATCCAAATTTGAAAAAAAACGGTCCACTAGTTTTGGAAAAAATGCGCGGACGGACAAAAAAATTTGTATTCGTTTTTCGAATTCTAAACTTTCAGAGGGGGTAAGGTTTTTTAATTTTTTGGTCGATCACAATGGTTCATTACTGGAATATAATAATCCAAAATATGAAACTGATGATACAGGAGAAGTTATAAGATGTCCTAAGCAAAAAACTAAACCAAATTAAACTGTCAATAAGAAAATGAATGCATACGTAAAAAATTGCTGATTTTAAAATCTATTTTGGTCTACAGTACAAAAATTATCTTAATACCAAAACATACATAATTATATTTCATTTTCATGAATTTTTTTTTATTTAAACTAATTAATTAATACTAATACAAGCTTAAAATTATTTTTCAGTCATTTATATATATTTTTTATTTTAAAATGCTTTCAGACCTAGCCGTTGATGCACTGTACCATCGGAACACCTCCTGGTGCCAAACTTGCGAACTTACTGAAGTCGAACCATGTCCTTATTATTTAATATACGATCCCCGGTGTGGAAAACAAGAAATAAAGGGTGGAAAATGGCTATATACAGTCTTCTCCAGCCAATGTGAAATGGATAACGCTAATCTTCGGGGAGGAGGTGCAGTTCATAAATTATTTTTATTTATGATTATATTTGTATTGTTAGTACTTGAAATGTTTTCCTGATTGCTTCCAAGGAAAACTGTAACATCTGCATATCCAAGGATTTCATGATTCGTTACGATGTGCACTTTTCGGTTCCATTTCAACTTCTTATCTCCTTCTACAGCGCTAAGTTGAACAACATTGGAGAGATTCATCTCCCTGTAGTAAGCCAGTTCGAGCTTCGAAGTCTTCAGGTAGTTTTTCTTGTATAAGAACTTGACATTTGTAGCCCTGGAGCCATGGCCAAAAAATCGACCTCATCTCAGGCAAAGGTTTGAATGTAAATTATGAATGTGTATGTTATTCTAAGTAAAAAGAGCATCGTCTTCTGTTCCAGAGCAGCTGCTTTCAAAAATTAAAAAAATCTGCTGATTTAAAGAATATTAACCCAGTAATTTGAGGATCGAAACAGGAAATCCATTTCTGGGGGGAAATCCAGCGAAAAATATGAGAAAAGCTATTATTTTTTTAGCTTGTATATATGGGTTTCGACATGTAAAAAAGTGCTAACACCGGCCATCAAGGGAAAACTTTTACAGTCCAAAAAAGTCAGATTTTTTCGATATTTTTTTGTGTTTTTTTCACAAATAATTCCTAGACAATGCATTGAAGCGAAAAATGTACTCTTTAATAGATTAAAGAACGGTAAATTGTGCATCGGACGAGTACTTAAACTTTATAATTTGGTTACGTGGTAAGATATAAAACCAAGTTCAGCCAACGCTTATTTTTACTAAATTTGTAAAAAACTGTGACAAATTACTACAAATGGCTCTGTAACTTGGAAATGAGTTCTCTACAGCAAAAATTCATATAATCAAAGTTGTAGAGCATCAAATTTTGCGTCCAGTGAGTATTGACAGTTTTTTTATAGGTACTGTAGGCCAATTATATATGTCGAATTGGGATTCGTTATTCCTTTATGAAATTCGGTATTTTTTTACACATCGTTTATCAAAATCCTTCGCTGCTGAGAGGTGTTGGCTTATACTGCATGTTACAGACTCTAAACTAAAATAACTCAGTAGAATAGACACCCATACTGTTGAAATATTGAAAATCACGTTTACTTTCATTCCCGATTTCTAACCATCACGAGATTACCGATTTGTTCGAAATAACATTAAATTGGTACTCACTGGACGCAAAATTTGATGCTCTACAGCTTTGATTCTATGTTTGTTTCCTGTTAGGGAACTCATTTCCAAGCTACAGGACCATTTGTAGTAATTTGTGTCAGTGTTTGACAAATTTGGTAAAAATCAGTGCTAGTTGACCATGATTTTATACCTTACCACGTAACCAAATTATAAAGTGTATGTACTCGTTCGACGCTCAATTTAACGTTCTTTAATTTGTTAAAGAATACATTTTTTGCTGCAATGCATCGTTTAGGAGTTATAGGTGAAAAAAACAAAAAAATATCGAAAAAAACTAACTTTAGTGGCCCGCGTTAACACTTCTGTTTTTTACATGTTTAAACCCATATATATAAGTTAAAAAAATAAAAGCTTTTCTCAAATAGATTTTCCGTTTCGATTCTCAAGTTACCCGTCTAATATTCTTTAACTCAGCCGCCATTTTTGAAAGCAGCGGCTCTGGAACTGCAGATAAGGTTATTTTTACTAAGAATAACATACACTTTCGTTATTTACATTTAAACTTTCGATGAGGTCGAATTTTGGGATCTGGCTCCAGGGCTGTTAGGGTCATTTGCACACATCTTCATCAATCTCGCTGTTCCTAGGGAACTTCCAATTCAGTCATGTTTTTCCAAAGACATCTCCTACCCACAGAATCAAAGGTTGCTGTATATAATTTATTGTTATTACTTATATTGTTATTGTCTTAATATATATTGTATTTTGTAATCAAGAAATTCCTGGGGGTTAGTGAAAAAAAAAAGTTATTGTCTTACTTTATATAATTTATTTATTATAAATATAATGGTGAAGAAATTGTTGACTGTAAACAATAAGATGGGGAAGATAGTCACAGTGAGACAAACAAGTAAAATTTTTCAAAATAAATATTTTATTTTGTGCTAACGTTTCAGCTTAAGTTTCAGGCCTCCATCAGGATTGAAGCAAGACAAGATATCACCAATTTTGTTTTTGAAAAACTTTTATAAAAATATTTTAAAAAAAACAGATTACACATTTTATTTTCATAATAGTTTTTAATCTATTTTTTGGAACAAAAAAATGTGTTAGAGTGTGTTTCTCACTCTAACTGCAAATATAATCTCTAAATTATTATTAATTATTGTTGTTATAATTGTATATTAGTCTCTACCAAAAATCCATTACAAAAATAATATTTACCTTATTTTTTAAATATATATTCGATAATAGAGATCAATTTAAATAATAATATGTTTATTAATTGTTTTTCCATTTATTGGTGTTCTAAACATGTTGTTACTGAAATCGTTTTATTTTCAGGTTGGAAACCTTGCTGTTGGTTTAAAGGAATGCCTTCTAAAAGTGAAGTCTTTTATCCTTTAAAGGAAAAATAAATAGTTTAAAATAAAATACTTTTTGAAATATTTGTCTTTATTATATCACCTATCAAATGTCTTAGAACATATTTTGTTCATGGAAATACAGTAGAAATTTAATTCAAGTTCATAATAAATGAGTTCATAAAAACTATCAAACTAGTGAACTTATAAACATACTAGGGGTCGACCGAAACGTATAAGGGAGCATGAATAGCCTTATTAGTAACACCAAATACAAATACAAATTCATAAAGAAAAGTTTTTACGCATATTATTATTGCGATTATTATACTAATATATTCAGATATGAATATAAATATGCTTGTAACGATCTCTTGAGCACAAGTTGTTTTTATATATTCCAATAAAACTTAAATGCCTTATATTTTTAACTGCTACCAAGGACAGCCTGGAAAAATTAAGTATTGTAGGCCGTATAAAATATTTTACGTTTTTAGTAACAAAACATAAAAGTAAGAAAAAAAGTATTATTGATTTTCGCGTGTCCGTCTTAAGCCTAAATGTAATAAAAAAAAAGAAATATATTTTAAAACAAATATATATTATTTTTATAATTATTTTCTGGACTCTCCCAGAACATATAATATCTGCCAAAGAAAACTATTGATAAAGAATTTCGATGATGAACAAAAAATAAATAAGTAAGATGCAAAAATAATATTAGTATCAAACTTTGATTTAAATTAAAGGTTATTTTTAAACTTCTATGCTTACGTGGTAAATGATATAGCATTTAAATTAAAATAAAACGTTGATTTAAATTTCTATATTTTTCTGTAACCACTGACTGATCCGCAGTGAAAGGAGGGGTGATTTTGGGGTTGATGACTCCCCAAATAGAAAAAATATATATTTCTTGAAAAATTACTCTATAGAAGAATAAATTAGTTTATTTACGGTTTGAGAAAAATTTAGTTTTTCTCCTTTAAATATAATATATATAATATTACGTTATAAATAAATTATTTAAATTAAGGAAAAATAATCCCCATCCCCACATAAATTATTACAGTAAGGCTCGAAAGCGGTTTTGTACCAAATATAAGCTCCTGTCATGCTCAAATACCATGAATGGGGCACCATTGGATTCAGAATTTCACGGGGGGGGGGTTACTGAATCGTATTCTCCATTTTTGTTTTTCTTTCTAAAATAAATAAAATCGATACAAACATTTTGCTAGGCTTCAATACTGGGACGGTAGTAGGTCTGTAGATCGATACATAACAAATTGGATCTTGAAGATTTTGATGCGTACAGCAAGACCCGGATAGTTCCTCCGGAACTATCAGATCCTGCGTTTTTAAGCCCAAAAACGTACTATTTCTGAGATAACACAAGGCATGGGGTTCACATCCACACAACCTAACGTTAATTATTGTATTGTCATTGAATACATATCTCATTTCGTCGACTTGAGGCCTCTGTGATCGATGGAGGAGGAGTTTATATTATTAATCGATGGTGTTTTTGTCGGCATATCATCGTTAATTCTTCACTAAATCTCAAGATTGAACCACCAATTGCCGGAAGGAAACCTTCGAAATTGGTGGTTCAATCTTGAGATTTAGTGAAGAATTAACGATATATATATATATATATATATATATATATATATATATATATATATATATATATATAGGCAAGATACAGCTTATTGAAATTTGTAAGTATGTTGGTTCCAAACAAAAATGAAGATTTAAATTATTTTTGTTTCCTTTGTCGATTATATTTATCGATAAAGTAACAATTGATTCCTTTATCTTTTGGTACGTTGCATTATTTTATTTTCTTATTAATTTGGTATTTGATAACAATATGCTCTGCGACTTTTTCGCATGGGCCTACTAGTTATATAAAAAGCAGTAAATCTAAATGATAAAAGAATTTTTATAAGACACGAAAATTGCATTATATAATTATATATTATGGTAAAAAAAAATAATCCAAAAAAATTGATCATTAAAATATGGCACAGTCTACAGTAACAAAATAATGATTCCAAAAAACAAAAAAATGTTTAATATACATGTTTCATTTTGTAGAGTAGGCTTAATTTTATATTATTTTTTGATTTTTGTTATTTATTGCATTTTTTTTAACCGTATTATAAATTGTTCTGCCCCTCAAACTTTAAGAGGCGAAATACTGTAAAAATAGAGAAAAGATAAAAAAAAAAAAAAAAAAACGAAGAAAGATGCCGAGCCTGTCTTAAAGCTCAAGGAAATCACTTCGAACAACATTTAATATGAACGTTAATGTTTACATTTAATTTATAAAGTACTTAGAACAAATAAATATTTTTTATTTATTACATATTATGTAAATAATTCATAACAACGAAAATCTTTAGGTGTGAATATCTCCTAAACAAAGCGTTTGCGGACATACCTTCAGAGGATTTTTTTTTCTTTTTTTGTGGTACCTAGTTCATTTTTGCAATTTGGCCACTTTACTCTCTAACACCCTTTATATTAATAAACCTGCAACGTTGGACTTTACTTTCTTGTACTTTTAATTATATTATTTGTAAACAAAACTACAGTATAGATATATGAAAATATAGAGCTCCGTCACTAAAATAATATTTTTCTCATTTTAAATTTAATAAAATTTAAAATTCAATTGAGCAACTGATTTTTTACTTTCCTATCTATAGTAGGTAAGGAAAGTATTACGATCGGATCAAATTTCCGATATGCGATTTTCGATATATCTATATGTTTCAGAGCCCCCTGAGTTCGAAAAACACATTTTTAGCCATTGGTCTGTCAGCCTGTGCCAAGATTTTCTCGGAAACTACTGAACCGATTTTGTAGCTTCTTTTTTTATTTTGTAGAGTTTTGACTACTGATGCCTGTGACACAAATGTCTCCATACGTAATAGCTGTTGCGCAATAAATTAAATGTTAAAGACTGTCGCACGAAAACAGCTTTAACGATTTTGATGAAACTTTTCTAAAATGTTCTAATAATTGTACTTTCAATTTTCGTACCTGGACTAAATTCCCGAGAAAATTCAGAAAAAAAAGTTATAAATAAAAGAAAAATGTTTTTGGGGGTGCTGGAACCACAACAAAATGAGTAAAAATCCACATCAAGGGAGATTAATAAAATGAGACAATATGTCCAAATGAGGCAGAAATGCTTTAACCAATTAGTTTAAAGAAATAGTTTTAGGTTTTAATATTAAGTAAAGAATAAATCACAAACATAAAGCACGTCCCAGGCTAAGAAACTAATTTAAAAATAAATAAACAGACAAATTAAATATCAAAAACTTTTAAAATGTAGTCTTACTACAGTAGAAGAAGAAACGTCACTAGTTAAAAAGAGAGCGTTCAAAATAAGGGGTTTAAAAAAAATAAAAAAAAACATCACTGTCATCACCGCCTTTTCCGATGACACATGTATCCTATAAGTTAATAACGATCCATCTATTGCATCCCAAACTATTCAATCACACATCACAAGTCTTGAAAATTGGTGTCAAAACTGGAGGATTAAACAAATTCCAATAAATCCCATCAAATTACCTTTACTCTTCTTCGTAAACCTACGACTTCCTGTCCTACAGTATCCTTCAACAATAGCCTACTTATCCCTGTTGAACAAATACCTGGGACTCCACCTGGACAAACGACTCACTTGGTACCCTCATACCAGACTGAAACGACTAGAAACCGCCCGACGTGTTCGACTACAGCAGTACTTACTAGACAAGCGTTCTAAACTTCCATCTATTTACAAAAGACTCATATATATTACTATAATAAGGCCTATTTGGACTTACGGGATCGAGCTTTGGGGCTCTACTAAACCATCAAATTCCTCTCGTATTCAATCCCTACAATCCAAAATCCTCCGTAAAATTCTCAATGTTCCCTACTTTGTCATAAATAAAATCATCCACAACGACCTTAATGTATCATATGTTTCTGATTGAGCTAAATCCAAATACCTATCCTTCCATAATAAACTTCTGAACCATCCGAACACTCTTGTTTCCAACCTTGCTTCCTCTTCTATTCCTGATAACTCCCCGAGGAGTCTGAAAATAAGATGGGCACGGGACCTTCTAATATAAAAATATTATTGGAGTGCTACCAATTGCTAGTTTCTCTTCATGTTGTACATGTCATGTTACTTGTTTCATATTTACTTGTAGTATTTATCATTTATACTGTTGTAAATTTCAATAATAAAAAACCCTCTTGTTTCCGATCTTGCTTCCTCTTCTATTTCTGATAACTCCCCGAGGCGTCTGAAAAGAAGATGGCCTCGGGACCTTCTAATATAAAAATATAATTGGAGTGCTACCAATGTGTAGTTTCTCTTCATGTTGTACATGTCATGTTACTTGTTTCATATTTACTTGTTGTATTTATCATTTATACAGTTGGAAATTTCAATAATAAAAAGAAGAAGAAAAAGAGGTATTATGTATTTTAAGTTTTTCAATATCCTTAATAACACTAGCAATTTTATTGTAATTGATATATAAACACTTATTTTAGAAAAAATAAAAAATAAATACTTATAAACCAAACTAAGAACAAGTATATGAAGGCGGATGTACGAAGTGAAACAGAAACAAGCATTCGAAATAGAAGAGTTTACCTCCCAACGGTAAAGAATTTGTTTACCTGAGTACTTTGTAAACTCCAACAATAACATGAGACCTGAAACAGAATAAACATTAATGCTATCCAATAGTTGCTATTTCGGACTTCAGAGACACATGAAAAGCTAATCACTTTCGTGAACAACAAAACTGTACAAGTCACTAATATAATTCGTATTAACGTACGGTTAAGAATTCTGGACTATATCGAAAACTACGAGTAGGTCTTACTTCGATACAAACGATGAATCCTTCGCAGAATATTTGGTCTGAGCGAATTAAGAGTGGCGGAAGAGACCAAATACAGAACTGTAAGAACTTTTCCAGGAGCGTAGTGAGGTTAGATTTATTAAGATTGGTTGAATTCGCTGGAGAAGACTTTGTGGCTGGGATGAATATTAGCCAAATTCAAAAGAAGCTCCTCATTCGAAAGAAGACCAATTGGAAGACCCGAACTGCATTAGGTTTATGTTGTGGCGGATGACGCGAGATAAATCCTTCATATCCGAGATTGGAAAATGGCTGCTCTGAAAAAGAATAATTGAAAAATTATGTTATAGAAGATTTTGTCTCCAGATGGGTTATAGTGTAAAAAAAAAGAAGACAAATATTTTTCTAATACTTTCAAAAATAGTTTTTTTCCGCCTTTGAACCACTGTGCTTCTGGCCCAGAGAAAGTGCAATAAAAGTAGATTTAAAAAAGCTAGAACGTGTTACTTAGGAAAGCATCTTATTATTTTAATGAACCGGAGAAAATTGGTGACAAAGGTTCTACGTATTTAACCTTAGTGCTCCTGCTGTCATATCTCGTATAAGCATCTTCGGACATTATCAATGGCCAATTGTTTAATGGCGTATTGTTTAATATTGAACTAATAATTAATGTAAAATTAAGTTTCATTACGCTTGGTTGAAATTTCTGTTGATGATCTTAGCTCTCTCGACAAAAGATCCTGAAGCAGAATTATCGCAACAATGATAATGTGTTATTTCATTTAGAAACACTAAAAATAATATATCATATTTATTAAAAGCTTTTCATAAAAATAATAAGATAATTTAACATTTAAGAGCAAGTAATATCAATTAGTGAAAAAGACATCTTAGTCACGTTCAATAGTGTATAAAAATGTAGAGAATGTGGAAACCTAGAGTTTGTCAATCGCATGTTGGAGAAATATGAGGTTGATAATTCTCTTGGCTTTTGTAATAATAGGTGAGTATTAAAGAGTCAGTACTTAGTAATGATATAGTTTTTAATTTAATATTATACATTTATTATACAGGATGTCTCAGTTCATAATTGTCAAACTCTGGGGAATGATTCTAGACAAAATATCCAACAAAAAAGTTCATTTCATGCATGGGCCTATTCCCAGTGGAAAAGGAGTTAAGACCAATTTTTTATTTATTAAAAAGAAATTGCTCAAAAACGGTTCAAGATAATAAAATTATAAATAGTAGCTTTATTAAACAGGCTTTTCAAAAAGTAGCTTCCTTGGAAGACGATCCTCCTTTTACGCTCAACATGTCCGAGCCACCTCAGCCTTCCGTTTTTATTATACTTGCTATGCCTGGCTGATTATACAATGCTCTTAAATCTTCGTTTTTTATAATTTTCTACTCTCCATCAGAGTAGACTGGTCCATATATTTATCTTAGTATCTTTCATTCACGAGTGAATAATCGTTTCTCCACCTCTTTTGTCAGGACCCATGTCTCACTGCCATAGGTGACTGTTGGGCGAATAATTGTCTTGTAAACGATGACCTTGGCTCTTTGAACTTCAAAACTTTATGTATTGCAAAAAAGCAACGATTTCCTGATGCTATTCTGGATTCTTGCGTAGTTCATTCTTTTTGGTGTTTAATGCTCCGAGATATCTAAAAGCCATACAAACTCCAACGCTCTGGGAGCCTTCTGGCTACTAGGTGGACATCATCAGCACAGGCCCATTACCTGTGTGTATCTGTTATATATGGTGACTCCAGAACTGGTTCTTATGCCTCGTACTGCTCCCTCCATGAAAAAATCAAAGAGAGTTGCTGACAGAGGATCTCCTTGTCAAAGACCATTATTGGCTGAAAACTCCTGTCCCAGTGAGACTTGTGATTTGATCCGACATTTAGAACAGGTCATCGTCATCCAAACCAGCACCGGCTTCTTGGGAACTCAAAAACTTCGTAAATCGTGCAGAAGACTTACACTATCAACGCGGTCATAGGCTTAATGGAAATCTATGAAAAGATGGTGGAAAGTAACATCAAATTCATGTGTCTTTTCCAACAGCTGTCTCAGGACGAATATGCAGTCAGTTGTCGATCTTCCTTGCCTGAATCCGTTTTGGTAGTCACCAACAATCTTCTCCATGTACGTCTCTCAACCTCCGATAAATGAAAGACGATAGCACTTTATAGGTTACGTTAAGCAGGAGCTTTGCCTCTGTAATTTTCACACTCCATTCTGTCTACATTTTTATGAATGGGGCATAAAAGCGCTATAGTCCAATTTATCGGCATCTTTTCATTCAACCACACATCGAAAATTATTTCGTATAGTTCGTCGAGAACTGTCCTTTCACCATACTTCAGCAGTTCCACCGGTATACAGTCGACTCCTGGAGCTTTATAATTCTTAATGCTGTGGAGTACTTCCTAAGCCTCCTCCTTCTCAGGTAGTGTTTCCACTTCGTTTTCATCTTCATTTTCTAGGATCCGATCCAGGTCGAAGTTGTGCTGTATTATGCCCTCATACATAACGCCAAACTCCGGGAGTAGATTTTAGACAAACTGTCAAAAAAACATTTCTTTCACGTTTTCTCTTGCTTAGGGAGCGATAACACAAAAAGTATTTAATTCAGATAATTAAATTGCTTCATATCAAACTAGATAACATTTCCTTGAAATAAAAGTAGAGTTTGCCTTTGTCAAAATTATTTAAAGGGGACTTTTGAGCTGCCAAAGTTGTGTTTTTCATAAAGTTTTTTTTAATTTTTTTCGTTATCACCTTAGATAATGAATTTTTAAAAATGTAGTATTTTTAACATATTTTTCAAATGAATAAAAAGTGTATTTTCTAAAATTAATACACTAAAATTGATGTCAAGTAACTAGAAGAAGAAGGAATTAAAACTTTGTAATAATTTCTAGTTTATTATTTTTGCTGAAAATACATTTATTCTGGATTGACGGAATATCAAATCATATAATTTTTCACACAAATAGAGATACATCTAAAACAAACCTCAAATAAACTGAAGCAATTAAATCTTATTAAACAAGGATGTTTTTATAAAATTAGGGTGTCTGTCGTATAGTTGTAGGATGATAAAAAAACATCGTGATTAATCAATGATTTAATGAAAAACGCAACTTAGACCAATAAAAATAGAGAGGAGGTTAGAATATCGTCTCCCCCCCCCTATAATATTTCGAATTTATTAACATCCGCCTGAAGCTTCGTGAACAGCTTCATCTTATCGTAACCTACAAATATTTTAATTACGAAAAATCTCGGAATAAGGGCGTTTTTAATCTGGAGATCGTCCAACTTTGTTTATTTAATTAGGTACTAAAAACTCATAAATACCCTCTTGCTTTTTAATTGAATCGTAAGATAATGTGATCGCAAAGTCGGAAAAAAAAATAGGCCTACAAAAATATTGGGTCACTTGGCCTTTATAACCTCGTTTTATTTTGACATTTTGGGGATGCAGGTTACGCCAAACAGACCAATATTTTTGTAGGTCACTTTTTTTTCGACTTTGTGATCACATTATCTTACGATTCAAGTGGAAAGCAAATGGGTATTCATGAGTTTTTACTACCTAATTAAATAAACAAAGTTTACCGATCTTCAGATTGAAAACGCTCCAATTCCGATAATTTCCGTAAATTAAATATGTAGGTAACGATGAGATAAAGCTATTTACAAAGTTTCAGGCGGATGTTAACAATTTGATAAAAAGGTATATGTCTCATGGACTAGAAATGCAGCGCAAACTTCATAAGGAATATTTTACAGGTGTCATTTAGTAAATGAGAAATTGCCTCTATCATATCGCAACTTCAAACCATTAAATAAAAATTAAAATATGTAATATATTCAATTACTTTCTTAACATATTTTCAAATATATCCGTACGAAAAAAAGAAACAAATCTCTCTATTATATAAAAGAGTTATTAGAGACTGTCATATTTTATTTTACATATACAATGCGGGATCGTAGCAAAGACATCAGGGTGAAAATCTCTGCTTAGTATTAGGCGAGTAGAAGTTAACAGGAGCTCAACTTTCCAGCCTAGTCCTCTAGGCTCGATAGTGCGATTTTCGGGTCTTAAATCTTTATTTTGTATTAGGAGAGTAGGATGTTGCAAGAGCTCAACACATACGTAATTAAATGAACAGTTGTATAATTTGTAAAATCTGGTTCGCGCAACACACAACTTTCACTTGCCGCTCAACTTTGAATAGAAATTATTTTCTAGTCATGTTGGGACATTATAAAATTTTTGAATTGCTTTTTTAACCAAGCTAAAGCTAAAACTTACAGCTAACAAATCATAAATACCATTAAAACAACAAAACTCCTATTTATTATACCTCCGGTTGATCATGGATTGTACGATCCGTTTATTATGGATTGTACGACTATTAGTTATTAAACTAATATTTACCATTTACCTTTATATGGTGTTATATTGTTCGTTTTATAATATATATGTTAATTATTAATTATTATATTATTTATGTTAATTTTTATGCGTGATATAAGCCCGAGACTTTTTTTGGTGGGGGGAACCGTCACTCCCAACCAGTATGGAAAGTCAGCGCCTATGATTTGATACTTTTATACTGAAATAAAATATAAAAATGATAATGTATTCGCTATTGGCTTAGGTGCGATCTGCTATGGAAGTGCAAGAGAAATACCATGCAAAGATACACAGACCGAACGACCATCGACTACAAATAATACCTCACCTAAAATCAAACCAACCGTACGTCCAAAACCGAGAACAACGCGGTTGACGACAAAACGAATACCAAAAACTAGAAGACCAACAACAACACCACCATGCGCTCAAACTACGTCACCAACACCTGCGTTAACATCCACCGTGACAGGCTCAACTTTGCACACAACACCAAGCTTCCCACTTACAGGATCGACGCCCGATTTTGGATCAACAGGTATTGATGTTTATTGAACTTTGCTGCTCATTCATTGATTAAATACGTATCACCCCCATTTCTTGATTAATTATTTTAAAATACTTTTCAACGATTAACAGATTCTTCTAGTGGAGCAACCACCGCTCAACCATCTTCTCAGACTACTGGCGCGACATCTTCCGCATCGACCGCCACATCTGGTAAGTATCTCTTTATAAATTATATGATAAAGGCGTTCTTGAGTAGATTTACCATATCTTCGACATATCCAATGATTGAACATCCATTTCGGTGAAAGTAAAAAGTAGTCTCATCCCTCCGAAATTTCAGGAAAAACAGTTATGAAGGAATACAAACTATGTTTGCGAATAACTCGAAAATTAAATATTTTTTTTTAGGTTAAGACCTCACTCTTCACCCTGAACTCCATCCCACCCAACACAGCTAAAGTTAAAAAAATCCTTTCTTCTCCGATTTCACTCTCCTAGCCTCCTAAAGCAGTCGAACCCTCTAGGGTCAAATTCCTTACAAACAACCTAAAATCCCCTGGACACGATCTCCTTACTTCCCAGATCCTTAGACAACTTCCCAAAAAAAGCCATAATATTCCTCACATACCTATACAACAGTATGCTCCGTACAACTCATTTTCCTCTGATATGGAAACACTCTATAATCATCATCTTCCCTAAGCCAGGTAAACCTGTTAATAATACCTCATCCTATAGACCAATAAGCTTGCTCCAAATACTTTCAAAAATCTTTGAAAAAATTCTTCTCAAACGTATCCTACTCATTCTCGAAACCCACAATATTCCTTCCCATCAGTTTGGATTCCGCTCAAGACATTCCACTGCTCAACAAGGCCTACGCGTTTTTGACCGTATATCCTCTGCGCTTAAAAACAAGCAATATTGCACTAGTGCCTTTCTGGACGAAGTGCAAGCTTTCGACCGGATGTGGCACATTTCAAGCTCAAAACCCACTTACCCCAATCCTTGTCCCTAGTCATCAAATCTTAAATTTCAAATCCGCTGCGGCACCCAATTCTCCAATTATTATCCAGTTGAGGCTAGTGTTCCACAATTCAGTGTCTTAGGCAAAGTTCTCTACATTCTTTTCACAGCTGACATGCCGACGCATCCTGATTCCCATCTAGCAATATTTGCTGACGATACAAGATAAAATAATTTTTAACTATTTAGAGGTCCCACTAATAGAACATCAACTGACCAATCAACAACTGATACTGGCGCAACTTCTACTGGACCGACCACCCCATCTGGTGGTACAGGTATTTCTTTTACTCAACGAAAACTTTTTTTTTGTCTGTTGTTTGAATAAACTCCTCACCATATATATTTGAATATCATTTTTAAATACTTTTAAACTATTTACAGGTCCTTCCAGTGCATCACCCACCTACGGAACACCTACTCAAACTTCTTCAACTGCTTCCGAATCGACAACTCCATCTGGTGGTACAGGTATTCCTTTTATTGAACAATATCTCTAGTCAGTTGATCGAGTAATATCTTCATCGCATTTATTTTAATATTATTTTAAACTATTTACAGGTCCTTCCAGTGGATCACCCACCTCCGGAACACCTACTCAAACTTCGTCAACCGCTTCCGGATCGACCACTCCGTCTGGTGGTACAGGTATTTCTTTTATTGAACAACATCGCTTGTCAGTTGTTTTAGTAATATCTTCATTACATTTATTTGAATATTAATTTAAAACCCTTTCCAACTAATTACAGGTCCTTCCAGTGGATCACCCACCTCCGGATCACCTACTCAAACTTCGTCAACTACTTCCGGATCGACCACTCCATCTGGTGGTACAGGTATTTCTTTTATTGAACAATATCTCTTTTCAGTTGTTTGAATAATCTTCTGTCCACATGTATTTGGATATAATTTAAAAATAATTTTTAACTATTTAAAGGTCCTACTACTAGAACATCAACTGACCAATCAACAACTGATACTGGCGCGACTTCTACTGGACCGACCACCCCATCTAGTGGTACAGGTATTTCTTTTAATGAACAATATCTCTTGTCAGTTGTTTGAATAATCTTCTGTCCACATGTATTTGAATATAATTTAATAATAATTTTTAACTATTTAAAGGTTCCACTACTAGAACATCAACTGACCAATCAACAACTGATACTGGCGAAACTTCTACTGGACCGACCACCCCATCTGGTGGTACAGGTATTTCTTTTAATAAACAATATCTCTTGTTAGTTTTTTTAATAATCTCTTCATTACATTTATTTGAATAATAATTTAAAATGCTTTTCAACTAATTACAGGTCCTTCCAGTGGATCACCCACCTCCGGATCACCTACTCAAACTTCGTCAACTGCTTCCGGATCGACCACTCCATCTGGTGGTACAGTTATTTTATTTATTGAACAATATCCTTGGTGTTACATTCGATCAAACCCTCTCATGGAAACCACACATCTCCCAAACTTCGCGTCGTACTATCTCTACCCTGAAACAGTTTAACCGTCTCCCACCTCGAGTATGGCTGTCTGGTGTACGGCGGACACTCAAGAGAATTCGAGGCCAGACGTAAACGCCCAATTAACTGCGCAATATGTTTTGTTTTCGGAATCTCAAGAGATACGTATATAACCCAGTATTACACCAATTTGAAGTGGCTATATCCATCCAACCGCCGTCTGTACTTACTTGACCCTTTCTATACCAAGCCATCAGAACTCAGCGGCATACCAATTTTTTTTTTAGAGCCTACAATTCAAATATTCTATTCAATCCCCTCTCTCTAGACCTCATACCTCCGACCTCTATCCACCTCCCCACAGAACTGCAGCGTTTGACAAATCCTTTATAATTCAAGCCGTCTCCTTCTGGAATACCATCCCTCCCGATATCCGAAATGTGCAATCAGTTTCCTCATTTAAATCTGTCCATTTTAACCACCTACTCCTTTCCCAACCCGATTGATCATGAAATGTAGATAAGAGAACTTTTAAAGTTCCCCCAGAAATGATTTTCTTAACTTATGCTACTTCATTTTCCCACCTTTGTAATAAACATATCAGTATGTTTTTAGTGTAATATTTCTATTTTTTGTTTTTCAAAATCTTAATCTTAATAATAAATGTAAATAATTAATTTTATGTATGGCCACACAGGCATTTATTCTGTATCTGTAATTTGTCCTAAAGGGACAACAGTCCCAGGACAATAAAAAAATATTTTCATTTAATATATTTGCATATCATCTTTAAATGCTTATCAACTACTTACAGGTCCTTCCAGTGCATCACCGACCTCCGGAACACCAACTCAAACTTCGTCAACAGCTTCCGGATCGACCACTCCATCTGGTGGTACAGGTATTTCTTCTATTGAACAATATTTCTTATTAGTTGATGAAGTAATCTCTTCGTTACATTTATTTGAATATACTTGTAAAATACTTTTTAACTATTTACAGGTCCTTCCAGTGGATCACCCACCTACGGAACACCTACTCAAACTTCTTCAACTGCTTCCGAATCGACAACTCCATCTGGTGGTACAGGTATTCCTTTTATTGAACAATATCTCTTGTCAGTTGATCGAGTAATATCTTCATCGCATTTATTTTAATATTATTTTAAACTATTTACAGGTTCTTCCAGTGGATCACCCACCTCCGGAACACCTACTCAAACTTCGTCAACTGGTTCAGAATCGACAACTCCATCTGGTGGTACAGGTACTGCTTTTATTGAACAATATCTCTTGTCAGTTGATGGAGTAATCTCCTCACCACATATATTTCAATATCATCTTTAAATGATTTTCAACTATTTACAGGTCCTTCCAGTGGATCACCCACCTACGGAACACCTACTCAAACTTCTTCAACTGCTTCCGAATCGACAACTCCATCTGGCGGTACAGGTATTCCTTTTATTGAACAATATCTCTTGTTAGTTGATGGAGTAATCTCTTCATCGCATTTATTTTAATATTATTTTAAACTATTTACAGGTCCTTCCAGTGGATCACCCACCTCCGGAACACCTACTCAAACTTCGTCAACTGGTTCAGAATCGACAACTCCATCTGGTGGTACAGGTACTGCTTTTATTGAATAATATCTCTTATCAATTGATGGAGAAATCTCTTTGTTACATTTATTTGAATATGCTTGTAAAATACTTTTCAACTATTTACAGGTCCTTCCAGTGCATCACCGACCTCTGGAACACCTACTCAAACTTCGTCAACTGGTTCCGAATCGACAACTCCATCTGGTGGTACAGGTATTGCTTTTATTGAAGAATATCTCTTGTCAGTTGATGGAGTAATCTCCTCACCACATATATTTCAATATCATCTTTAAATGATTTTCAACTATTTACAGGTCCTTCCAGTGGATCACCCACCTACGGAACACCTACTCAAACTTCTTCAACTGCTTCCGAATCGACAACTCCATCTGGTGGTACAGGTATTCCTTTTATTGAACAATATCTCTTGTCAGTTGATCGAGTAATATCTTCATCGCATTTATTTTAATATTATTTTAAACTATTTACAGGTTCTTCCAGTGGATCACCCACCTCCGGAACACCTACTCAAACTTCGTCAACTGGTTCAGAATCGACAACTCCATCTGGTGGTACAGGTACTGCTTTTATTGAACAATATCTCTTGTCAGTTGATGGAGTAATCTCCTCACCACATATATTTCAATATCATCTTTAAATGATTTTCAACTATTTACAGGTCCTTCCAGTGGATCACCCACCTACGGAACACCTACTCAAACTTCTTCAACTGCTTCCGAATCGACAACTCCATCTGGTGGTACAGGTATTCCTTTTATTGAACAATATCTCTTGTTAGTTGATGGAGTAATCTCTTCATCGCATTTATTTTAATATTATTTTAAACTATTTACAGGTCTTTCCAGTGGATCACCCACCTCCGGAACACCTACTCAAACTTCGTCAACTGGTTCAGAATCGACAACTCCATCTGGTGGTACAGGTACTGCTTTTATTGAATAATATCTCTTATCAATTGATGGAGAAATCTCTTTGTTACATTTATTTCAATATGCTTGTAAAATACTTTTCAACTATTTACAGGTCCTTCCAGTGCATCACCAACCTCTGGAACACCTACTCAAACTTCGTCAACTGGTTCCGAATCGACAACTCCATCTGGTGGTACAGGTATTGCTTTTATTGAAGAATATCTCTTGTCAGTTGATGGAGTAATCTCCTCACCACATATATTTCAATATCATCTTTAAATGATTTTCAACTATTTACAGGTCCTTCCAGTGGATCACCCACCTACGGAACACCTACTCAAACTTCTTCAACTGCTTCCGAATCGACAACTCCATCTGGTGGTACAGGTATTCCTTTTATTGAACAATATCTCTTGTCAGTTGATCGAGTAATATCTTCATCGCATTTATTTTAATATTATTTTAAACTATTTACAGGTCCTTCCAGTGGATCACCCACCTCCGGAACACCTACTCAAATTTCGTCAACTGGTTCAGAATCGACAACTCCATCTGGTGGTACAGGTATTGCTTTTATTGAACAATATCTCTTGTCAGTTGATGGAGTAATCTCCTCACCACATATATTTCAATATCATCTTTAAATGCTTTCCAACTAATTACAGGTCCTTCCAGTGCATCACCCACCTCCGGAACACCTACTCAAACTTCTTCAACTGCTTCCGAATCGACAAATCCATCTGGTGGTACAGGTATTTCTTTTATTGAACAAATGCCTATCAGTTGATGGAGAAATCTCCTCACCACAAATATTTCAATATCATCTTTAAATGCTTTCCAACTATTTATAGGTCCTTCCAGTGGATCACCCACCTCCGGAACACCTACTCAAACTTCTTCAACTGCTTCCGGATCGACCACTCCATCTGGTGGTACAGGTATTTCTTTATAATAATAGTAATGGTCGTCTTAACGTTCATACACGCGAGCTTAAATAGACAACCAAGTGAAAACCTCACGTATCCACCTTATCAACCTAACATATGTTTTATTAATAAATAATCGAAATCAAAACATTTATTAATCATTTATACAATTTAGACGAACAGACTATAAAATGCACAATGAAATTTCTAAATAAACAATTGACTATAGATAATTAATAAAACTTAATCTAAGGAGTAATCTAAACTTAACTATTTACAACTAAACAACAAGGACTTACGGACTAACCTAAAGCTCATATAAAATTAACTAACTAATATAAATCTGAATAATGTACAAAAATACGCAAAGACTTCATCCATATAAGTCCGCTTCTTCCAGCAGTTACAGTGATAGAGAAAGAGAGATAGAGACAGTGAGAGAGAAGAGAGAACTAACGATTCCTCCAACGCACGTAGGTCTCTTTACCTTTTGCAATCACTGTTCCCTTCAATCTCCTAAAAACATCTGACTCTCTCTCTCTCTCTTTACTCTGCCTTAATGTGCATTCACTGCCACATAAATTAACTCTTTTGTTTTGTGCACTACATCTTTTATTGAACAATATCTCCTGTCAGTTGATGGAGTAATCTCTTCACCACATATATTTGCATATCATCTTTAAATGATTTTCAATTATTTACAGGTCCTTCCAGTGCATCACCCACCTCCGGAACACCTACTCAAACTTCTTCAACTGCTTCCGGGTCGACCACTCCATCTGGTGGTACAGGTATTTCTTTTTTTGAACAATATTTCTTGTCAGTTGTTTCAGTAATCTCTCCATTACATTTATTGGAATATAATTTTAAAATAATTTTTAACTATTTAAAGGTCCCACAACTAGAACATCACCTGACCAATCAACAACTGATACTGGCGCAACTTCTACCGGTCCGACCACCCCATCTGGTGCTACAGGTATTTCTTTTACTTAAAGAAACTTTTTTTTGCCAGTTGTTTGAATCATCTTCTCCCCACATATATTTGAATATCATATATGTCAACCTTTTCCAGTTCAAATCCTCAGTACATTCCCTGTTCACAAGATCTCGACCTTCTAATCATTACTGCCTCATTCCAAAAATTGCTCGCTCTGTCAATTTTTGGAATTTCCTCCCTATCAAAATTCGACATTCCTCATATATATCCACATTCAAAACCCTTCTATTCCAATTCCTATCCCCAAAAACAGTCAGAGAGTTGCTAACCATTCGACAACATAAACTTATTTCATGCCATTCATTGTCAAATATCAATGCTAAATGACAATGTATTTATATATTAATCAGGCACTTTATATTGTCAGATTCAGTTTTCTATTTTCTCAACAGAAACACAAACCTGACTTTAATATATTTTTATTTTTTAATTCGTTGTTTTCTTAAAAGTGTATACTGGTCTATCAGTGCAAATAGCTTTAAGTGTCTTGTCATAGAGTTAATTGTTTTGAATATAGTTTCGTTTGTTTTGTATATAGAACGTTTATCTTATATTTTCTTTACATCATTTCTTTTTTCGACTAATATTATTTTGGCCAGATGCAATCTTTTAATTTTGTTCTATTTTATTAGTATTTATTTTTATTAATAAGTATGCTGTGTTTAAAGCAACCCAATGTAATTGGGCAGCACCCATTTAAGATAATAAAGTGATTCTCTCTCTCTCAAAGGACTGTGTCCCAGAATGAAGTTATCTTCTATCTATCTATCATCTTTAAATCCTTTTCAACTATTTACAGGTCCTTCCAGTGGATCACCCACCTCCGGAACACCCACTCAAACTTCGTCAACTGCTTCCGGATCGACCACTCCATCTGGTGGTACAGGTATTGCTTTTATCGAACAATATCTCTAGTCAGCTGATGGAGTAATCTCCTCACCACATATATTTGCATATCATCTTTAAATGATTTTAAATTATTTACAGGTCCTTCCAGTGGATCACCAACCTACGGAACACCTTCTCAAACTTCTTCAACTGCTTCCGAATCGACAACTCCATCTGGTGGTACAGGTATTTCTTTTATTGAACAAATGCCTATCAGTTGATGGAGAAATCTCCTCACCACAAATATTTCAATATCATCTTTAAATGCTTTCCAACTATTTATAGGTCCTTCCAGTGGATCACCCACCTCCGGAACACCTACTCAAACTTCTTCAACTGCTTCCGGATCGACCACTCCATCTGGTGGTACAGGTATTGCTTTTATCGAACAATATCTCTAGTCAGCTGATGGAGTAATCTCCTCACCACATATATTTGCATATCATATTTAAATGATTTTAAATTATTTACAGGTCCTTCCAGTGGATCACCAACCTACGGAACACCTTCTCAAACTTCTTCAACTGCTTCCGAATCGACAACTCCATCTGGTGGTACAGGTATTACTTTTATTTAACAATATCTCTTGTTAGTTGATGGAGTAATCTCTTCATCGCATTTATTTTAATATTATTTTTAAATACATTGAAACTATTTACAGGTCCTTCCAGTGGATCACCAACCTCCGGAACACCTACTCAAACTTCGTCAACTGCTTCCGAATCGACAACTCCATCTGGTGGTACAGGTATTGCTTTTATTGAACAATATCTCTTATCAGTTGATGGAGTAATCTCTTCACCTCATTTATTTTAATATTATTTTTAAATACTTTGAAACTATTTACAGGTCCTTCCAGTGGTTCACCAACCTCCGGAACACCTACTCAAACTTCGTCAACTGCTTCCGGATCGACCACTCCATCTGGTGGTACAGGTATTTCTTTTATTGAACAATATCTCTTGTTAGTTGATGGAGTAATCTCAACACCCCATTTATTTTAATCTTATTTTTAAATACTTTGAAACTATTTACAGGTCCTTCCAGTGGATCACCAACCTCCGGAACACCTACTCAAACTTCTTCAACTGGTTCCGAATCGACAACTCCATCTGGTGGTACAGGTATTGCTTTTATTGAACAATGTCTCTTGTTAGTTGATGGAGTAATCTCTTCATCGCATTTATTTTAATATTATTTTTAAATACTTTGAAACTATTTACAGGTCCTTCCAGTGGATCACCCACTTACGGAACACCTACTCAAACTTCGTCAACTGGTTCCGGCTCGACCACTCCATCTGGTGGTACAGGTATTGCTTTTATTGAACAATATCTCTTATCAGTTGATGGAGTAATCTCTTCACCTCATTTATTTTAATATTATTTTTAAATACTTTGAAACTATTTACAGGTCCTTCCAGTGGATCACCAACCTCCGGAACACCTACTCAAACTTCTTCAACTGCTTCCGGATCGACCACTCCATCTGGTGGTACAGGTATTTCTTTTATTGAACAATATCTCTTGTTAGTTGATGGAGTAATCTCTTCATCGTATTTATTTTAATATTATTTTTAAATACTTTGAAACTATTTACAGGTCCTTCCAGTGGATCACCAACCTCCGGAACACCTACTCAAACTTCGTCAACTGCTTCCGGATCGACCACTCCATCTGGTGGTACAGGTATTGCTTTTATAGAACAATATCTCTAGTCAGCTGATGGAGTAATCTCCTCACCACATATATTTGCATATCATCTTTAAATGATTTTCAATTATTTACAGGTCCTTCCAGTGGATCACCAACCTACGGAACACCTACTCAAACTTCTTCAACTGCTTCTGAATCGACAACTCCATCTGGTGGTACAGGTATTGCTTTTATTAAACAAAATCTCTTGTTAGTTGATGGAGTAATCTCTTCATCGCATTTATTTGAATATACTTGTAAAATACTTTTCAACTATTTACAGGTCCTTCCAGTGCATCACCGACCTCTGGAACACCTACTCAAACTTCGACAACAGCTTCCGGATCGACCACTCCATCTGGTGGTACAGGTATTTCTTCTATTGAACAATATCTCTTATCAGATGATGGAGTAATCCCTTCACCTCATTTATTTTAATATTATTTTTAAATACTTTGAAAATATTTACAGGTCCTTCCAGTGGATCAACAACCTCCGGAACACCTACTCAAACTTCTTCAACTGGTTCCGAATCGACAACTCCATCTGGTGGTACAGGTATTACTTTTATTTAACAATATCTCTTGTTAGTTGATGGAGTATTCTCTTCATCGCATTTATTTTAATATTATTTTTAAATACTTTGAAACTATTTACAGGTCTTTCCAGTGGTTCACCAACCTCCGGAACACCTACTCAAACTTCGTCAACTGCTTCCGGATCGACCACTCCATCTGGTGGTACAGGTATTTCTTTTATTGAACAATATCTCTTGTTAGTTGATGGAGTAATCTCTACACCCCATTTATTTTAATATTATTTTTAAATACTTTGAAACTATTTACAGGTCCTTCCAGTGGATCACCAACCTCCGGAACACCTACTCAAACTTCGTCAACTGCTTCCGGATCGACCACTTCATCTGGTGGTACAGGTATTTCTTCTATTGAACAATATCTCTTATCAGATGATGGAGTAATCTCTTCACCTCATTTATTTTAATATTACTTTTAAATACTTTGAAACTATTTACAGGTCCTTCCAGTGGATCACCAACCTCCGGAACACCTACTCAAACTTCTTCAACTGGTTCCGAATCGACAACTCCATCTGGTGGTACAGGTATTACTTTTATTTCACAATATCTCTTGTTAGTTGATGGAGTATTCTCTTCATCGCATTTATTTTAATATTATTTTTAAATACATTGAAACTATTTACAGGTCCTTCCAGTGGATCACCAACCTCCGGAACACCTACTCAACCTTCTTCAACTGGTTCCGAATCGACAACTCCATCTGGTGGTACAGGTATTGCTTTTATTGAACAATATCTCTTGTTAGTTGATGGAGTAATCTCTTCATCGCATTTATTTTAATATTATTTTTAAATACTTTGAAACTATTTACAGGTCCTTCCAGTGGATCACCCACTTACGGAACACCTACTCAAACTTCGTCAACTGCTTCCGAATCGACAACTCCATCTGGTGGTACAGGTATTGCTTTTATTGATCAATATCTCTAGTCAGCTGATGGAGTAATCTCCTCACCACATATATTTGCATATCATCTTTAAATGATTTTCAATTATTTACAGGTCCTTCCAGTGGATCACCAACCTACGGAACACCTACTCAAACTTCGTCAACCGCTTCCGAATCGACAACTCCTTCTGGTGGTACAGGTATTACTTTTATTTAACAATATCTCTTGTTAGTTAATTGAGTAATCTCTTCATCGCATTTATTTTAATCTTATTTTTAAATACTTTGAAACTATTTACAGGTCCTTCCAGTGGATCACCCACCTACGGAACACCTACTCAAACTTCGTCGACTGCTTCCGGATCGACCACTCCATCTGGTGGTACAGGTATTGCTTTTATCGAACAATATCTCTAGTCAGCTGATGGAGTAATCTCCTCACCACATATATTTGCATATCATCTTTAAATGATTTTCAATTATTTACAGGTCCTTCCAGTGGATCACCAACCTACGGAACACCTACTCAAACTTCGTCAACTGCTTCCGAATCGACAACTCCATGTGGTGGTACAGGTATTGCTTTTATTGATCAATATCTCTAGTCAGCTGATGGAGTAATCTCCTCACCACATATATTTGCATATCATCTTTAAATGATTTTCAATTATTTACAGGTCCTTCCAGTGGATCACCAACCTACGGAACACCTACTCAAACTTCGTCAACCGCTTCCGAATCGACAACTCCTTCTGGTGGTACAGGTATTGCTTTTATTGAACAATGTCTCTTGTTAGTTGATAGAGTAATCTCTTCACCTCATTTATTTAAATATTATTTTTAAATACTTTGAAACTATTTACAGGTCCTTCCAGTGGATCACCCACCTCCGGAACACCTACTCAAACTTCGTCAACTGCTTCCGGATCGACCACTCCATCTGGTGGTACAGGTATTGCTTTTATCGAACAATATCTCTAGTCAGCTGATGGAGTAATCTCCTCACCACATATATTTGCATATCATCTTTAAATGATTTTCAATTATTTACAGGTCCTTCCAGTGGATCACCAACCTACGGAACACCTACTCAAACTTCGTCAACTGCTTCCGAATCGACAACTCCATCTGGTGGTACAGGTATTACTTTTATTTAACAATATCTCTTATCAGTTGATGGAGTAATCTCTTCACCTCATTTATTTTAATATTATTTTTAAATACTTTGAAACTATTTACAGGTCCTTCCAGTGGTTCACCAACCTCCGGAACACCTACTCAAACTTCATCAACTGCTTCCGGATCGACCACTCCATCTGGTGGTACAGGTATTTCTTTTATTGAACAATATCTCTTGTTAGTTGATGGAGTAATCTCTACACCCCATTTATTTTAATATTATTTTTAAATACTTTGAAACTATTTACAGGTCCTTCCAGTGGATCACCAACCTCCGGAACACCTACTCAAACTTCATCAACTGCTTCCGGATCGACCACTCCATCTGGTGGTACAGGTATTGCTTTTATCGAACAATATCTCTAGTCAGCTGATGGAGTAATCTCCTCACCACATATATTTCAATATCATCTTTAAATGCTTTCCAACTAATTACAGGTCCTTCCAGTGGATCACCAACCTATGGAACACCTACTCAAACTTCGTCAACTGCTTCCGAATCGACAACTCCATCTGGTGGTACAGGTATTGCTTTTATTGATCAATATCTCTAGTCAGCTGATGGAGTAATCTCCTCACCACATATATTTGCATATCATCTTTAAATGATTTTCAATTATTTACAGGTCCTTCCAGTGGATCTCCCACCTACGGAACACCCACTCAAACTTCTTCAACTGCTTCCGGATCGACCACTCCATCTGGTGGTACAGGTATTTCCTTTATTGGACAATATTTCTTGTTAGTTGTTTTAGGAATCTCTTCATCACATTTATTTTAAATACTTTGAAACTATTTACAGGTCCTTCCAGTGGATCACCCACCTACGGAACACCTACTCAAACTTCGTCAACTGCTTCCGAATCGACAACTCCATCTGGTGGTACAGGTATTGCTTTTATTGATCAATATCTCTAGTCAGCTGATGGAGTAATCTCCTCACCACATATATTTGCATATCATCTTTAAATGATTTTCAATTATTTACAGGTCCTTCCAGTGGATCACCCACCTACGGAACACCTACTCAAACTTCTTCAACTGCTTCCGGATCGACCACTCAATCTGGTGGTACAGGTATTTCTTTTATTGGACAATATTTCTTGTTAGTTGTTTTAGGAATTTCTTCATCACATTTATTTTAAATACTTTGAAACTATTTACAGGTCCTTCCAGTGGATCACCAACCTCCGGAACACCTACTCAAACTTCGTCAACTGCTTCCGGATCGACCACCCCATCTGGTGGTACAGTTATTGCTTTTATTGAACAATATCTCTTGTCAGTGGATGGAGTAATTTTCTCACCACACATATTTGAAAATCATCTTAAAATCTTTTCCAACTATTTACAGGTCCTTCTAGTGGATCACCCACCTCCGGAACACCTACTCAAACTTCTTCAACTGCTGCCGGATCGACCACTCCATCTGGTGGTACAGGTATTTCTTTTATTGGACAATATTTCTTGTTAGTTGTTTTAGGAATCTCTTCATCACATTTATTTTAATATTATTTTAAAATATTTACAGGTCCTTCCAGTGCATCACCCACCTCCGGAACACCTACTCAAACATCGTCAACTGCTTCTGAATCGACCACTCCATCTGGTGGTACAGGTATTTCTTTTATTGAACAATATCTCTTGTTGTTTTAACTACCTCTTTATCACATTTAGTTTACTATTGTTTTTAAATACTTCTAACTATTAACAGGTCCCACAACTAGAACATCCTCTGTCCAATCAACAACTGATAGTGGCATAACTTCTACTGAACCGACCACAGTATCGGGTGGAACAGGTATTTCTTTTATTGCAAGATTTTTTTTCTTGTTTGAATAATTATCTTTCTGTATACAGTTAAAAATTAATTTAAAATACTATTGAACAATTATAGGTTCTTCTAGTGAAACATCCACCACTCGTCCATGTTATCAGACTACACAGATCACATCTTCTGGATCGACAACATTATCTAGTGGAACAGGTATTTATTTCATTGAACTTGATCTCTCGTCAGTTGTTTGAATAATCTCCTAAAAATAAAAACCTCTGGCAATTAAGGTCAGTATAGCTTCCTCATCAAATTAAACAACAAAATGCAGAAAATGAAGGCCTATTTATATTTAAAACTTATCGATGCTTCCATCCTACCCTTCAATTATTACTAGTAATAAAATTTTTTGAATAAAGCCCCTAACCACTTTGAGGTTTGAGAGAGAAATCAAGATACGCACCACTTGGTTGAACTTCAAATGGAACATGAAATTAACAAATATGAAATTCTTTTTTATGATCTGTGCCAAATTCCATTTAAATTTACAAATATACGGTAGATACAGTACAGAAAATCTCATCCCTAAGCGCAAGCTGGTAAAGGGATACAGCAAAATCTATATTTGGCAATCTAAGTTTCATCTCCCACAATCACTGAAAATCACATGAAATTTTTGTAATGGTAGTATGTGTCATGCCAGTAATATGTAAACGACCAAACAACGGGTTTAAAGTACGTTTCTTTAATGCATTCTAAAATTTGATAACCTCATAAAACAATACTATGAACATAACCTCCCTTTCACATGATCAATGCCTTCCCCGTTTCACAGCCATTATATTTTTAAAAGTTATTTATATAAATTTTAATTGTTGAATAAAATACAATGACATTGATACTAGGGAATTTCTACACTATTCTCCACATTTTCCTCAACTTTCGGTCTAATCAAAGGAGAGGTTTTTGAAAATATAAGCGTGTTAAAAATAATACGTTTTTAGATTCGAAGGCAGAAGTATTTTCTGAAAATAGAGGATGGAATTTTCTGAAACGGATATCTACGTGATTTTCTATTTACCAATCTCTGACTTTCCTCCAAATTGGAGCCAAATCGAATGCGTTTTTTTTAGATATAGACGCATCACGAAAAATACGTTTGGGCATATTTAAGAGGAAGTCGTTGAAGAAATGCAATGGAATCATTATTTTATTACTAAAATCTATCTTCCTTAGAACTTTGAGTCAAATCGACCAAGCCGTTTCCGAAATATTGTCATAGCTAAGGATATACATAGGCGCGTGCGTAAGTAGAAGTTGCGGATGGAATTTGATGAAATTGATATGGGACCGCCCAAACAAAAATCCCCCGCATTCCCTAAAAAATTCGGATATACAGTAGTCGGTGATATACGAGTTACATCGATTTGACTGCAGCTAGAAACCAAACGAAATTTGTACCTTGATGTCAGAAACTTAAAATGCGAGTTGAATTTTTCGATTCCGAGCACATAATTGTTTTTAACCTGCCGCAAGAACATAAAGCTCCCCCGCCATCAGTTGTGAGGAAGCAATAAAGTATTTTAAATATTTACAATAAATCCCGTGCCAGTTGACGCATTATTATCGTGTCTTCCAGATTAGAATAGTTTATGGCCGCCGATAATGGTTTTCCAACAACTGTCCACCTGACCTCTTGAATTGCTTTTAACGGAATTTGATACCTTTTTAGTCATCTGACTACCGTTTATGCAACCCTGGTCGGAATAAAATACGTTCGTTCCAAAATCCAATGTATAGTCCGTGATTCAAATTTAGACAGTCCCATTTTCCGGAGCTTCGTTGTGATTTCGTAACACGGTGTTTTTCCAAAACAGAGTTATTAGCCCTATGCCCACACCCCAACCTGGAGTACCAGGAGCTATGGTGTAATGCACGCCAGTTGCTAAAATCCCAGTGAATCTATCAGTGGGATGTTACCGTAATCGTGGGGAAATAGAACCTGCACCGTAGTGGTTAAAAAACACGGGTAGGGCATGCCATATTTATTTTTTAAATTTTGATTTTTTAATACTTTTTTCTTTTTTTTGTTTCAACGAACGGGATTTGAATTTATGACTTCAGTTTGTACAATAGAAACAAAAAGCCTCTAAACGTTGAGTATATTTTTGCAGGATCATTGACTCTGTCGACAAACGCGGTCCACCTCCTCAAAACATATATTTGAAAAATAGTTTATAATAATTCCAACTAATTACAGGTCCTTCCAGTGGATCAACCACCTCCGGAACACCTACTCAAACTTCGTCAACAGCTAGTGGATCGACCACTCCATCTGGTGGTACAGGTACTGTACAATTGCTTTTATTCAACAATATTTCGTTTCAGTTTTTTCAGTAATATCTTCATTGCCTTTATTTGAATAAATTTTAAAATACTTTTTCACTATTTAAAGGTCCAACAACTAGAACATCCACTGACCAGTCAACAACTGATACTGGCGCGACTTCTACTGGACCGACCACTCCATCTGGTGGTACAGGTATTGCTTTTATTGAACAATAATTCTTTTCAGTGGATGGAGTAATCTCCTAATCACATATATTTGCATATCATCTTTAAATGTTTTACAATTATTTACAGGTCCTTCCAGTGGATCACCCACCTACGGAACACCTACTCAAACATCGTCAACTGCTTCCGAATCGACCACTCCATCTGGTGGTACAGGTATTACATTTATTGAACCATATTTCTTTTCAGTTGTTTCAGTAATCTCTCCATTACATTTATTTTAATATTATTTTAAAATGATTTCCAAACTATTTACAGGTCCTTCTAGTGGATCACCAACCTCCGGAACACCTACTCAAACTTCTTCAACTGCTTCCGAATCGACCACTCCATCTGGTGGTACAGGTATTGCTTTTATTGAACAATATTTCTTTTCAGTTATTTTATAATCTCTCCATTACATTTATGATTTTCAACTATTTACAGGTCCTTCCAGTGCATCCCCAACCTCCGGAACACCTACTCAAACTTCTTCAACTGCTTCCGAATCGACAACTCCATCTGGTGGTACAGGTATTGCTTTTATTGAACAATATTTCTTGTCAGTGGATGGAGTAATCTCCTCATCACATATATCTGCATTTCAACTTTAAATGTTTTACAATTATTTACAGGTCCTTCCAGTGGATCACCCACCTACGGAACACCTACTCAAACTTCGTCGACTGCTTCCGGATCGACCACTCCATCTGGTGGTACAGGTATTGCTTTTATTGAACAATATCTCTTGTTAGTTGATAGGGTAATCTCTTCATTACATTTGTTTTAATATTATTTTTAACTATTTACAGGTCCTTCCAGTGGATCACCAACCTCCGGAACACCTACTCAAACTTCGTCGACTGCTTCCGAATCGACAACTCCATCTGGTGGTACAGGTATTACTTTTATTGAACAATATCTCTTGTTAGTTGATAGGGTAATCTCTTCATTACATTTATTTTAATATTATTTTAAACTATTTACAGGTCCTTCCAGTGGATCACCAACCTCCGGAACACCTACTCAAACTTCGTCGACTGCTTCCGGATCGACCACTCCATCTGGTGGTACAGGTATTGCTTTTATTGAACAATATCTCTTGTTAGTTGATAGGGTAATCTCTTCATTACATTTGTTTTAATATTATTTTTAACTATTTACAGGTCCTTCCAGTGGATCACCAACCTCCGGAACACCTACTCAAACTTCGTCGACTGCTTCCGAATCGACAACTCCATCTGGTGGTACAGGTATTACTTTTATTGAACAATATCTCTTGTTAGTTGATAGGGTAATCTCTTCATTACATTTGTTTTAATATTATTTTTAACTATTTACAGGTCCTTCCAGTGGATCACCAACCTCCGGAACACCTACTCAAACTTCGTCAACTGCTTCCGAATCGACAACTCCATCTGGTGGTACAGGTATTGCTTTTATTGAACAATATTTATTTTCAGTTGTTTTATAATCTCTCCATTACATTTATGATTTTCAACTATTTACAGGTCCTTCCAGTGCATCCCCAACCTCCGGAACACCTACTCAAACTTCTTCAACTGCTTCCGAATCGACAACTCCATCTGGTGGTACAGGTATTGCTTTTATTGAACAATATTTCTTGTCAGTGGATGGAGTAATCTCCTCATCACATATATCTGCATTTCAACTTTAAATGTTTTACAATTATTTACAGGTCCTTCCAGTGGATCACCCACCTACGGAACACCTACTCAAACTTCGTCGACTGCTTCCGGATCGACCACTCCATCTGGTGGTACAGGTATTGCTTTTATTGAACAATATCTCTTGTTAGTTGATAGGGTAATCTCTTCATTACATTTATTTTAAACTATTTACAGGTCCTTCCAGTGGATCACCAACCTCCGGAACACCTACTCAAACTTCGTCAACTGCTTCCGAATCGACAACTCCATCTGGTGGTACAGGTATTGATTTTATTGAACAATATCTCTTGTTAGTTGATAGGGTAATCTCTTCATTACATTTATTTTAATATTATTTTAAACTATTTACAGGTCCTTCCAGTGGATCACCAACCTCCGGAACACCTACTCAAACTTCGTCAACTGCTTCCGAATCGACAACTCCATCTGGTGGTACAGGTATTGCTTTTATTGAACCATATTTCTTTTCAGTGGATGGAGTAATCTCCTCATCACATATATTTGCATTTCAACTTTAAATGTATTTCAATTATTTACAGGTCCTTCCAGTGGATCACCCACCTACGGAACACCTACTCAAACGGCGTCGACTGCTTCCGGATCGACCACTCCATCTGGTGGTACAGGTATTGCTTTTATTGAACAATATCTCTTGTTAGTTGATAGTGTAATCTGTTCATTACATTTATTTTAATATTATTTTAAACTATTTACAGGTCCTTCCAGTGGATCACCAACCTCCGGAACACCTACTCAAACTTCGTCAACTGCTTCCGGATCGACAACTCCATCTGGTGGTACAGGTATTGCTTTTATTGAACCATATTTCTTTTCAGTTGTTTCAGTAATCTCTCATTACATTTATTTTAATATTATTTTAAAATGTTTTCCAAACTATTTACAGGTCCTTCCAGTGGATCACCCACCTCCGGAACACCTACTCAAACTTCGTCGACTGCTTCCGGATCGACCACTCCATCTGGTGGTACAGGTATTGCTTTTATTGAACAATATTTCTTTTCAGTTGTTTTAGTAATCTCTCCATTACATTTATTTTAATATTATTTTAAAATGCTTTCCAAACTATTTACAGGTCCTTCTAGTGGATCACCCACCTACGGAACACCTACTCAAACTTCGTCGACTGCTTCCGGATCGACCACTCCATCTGGTGGTACAGGTATTGCTTTTATTGAACAAAATCTCTTGTTAGTTGATAGGGTAATCTCTTCATTACATTTATTTTAATATTATTTTAAACTATTTACAGGTCCTTCCAGTGGATCACCCACCTCCGGAACACCTACTCAAACTTCTTCAACTGCTTCCGGATCGACCACTCCATCTGGTGGTACAGGTATTGCTTTTATTGAACCATATTTCTTTTCAGTTGTTTCAGTAATCTCTCCATTACATTTATTTTAATATTATTTTAAAATGTTTTCCAAACTATTTACAGGTCCTTCCAGTGGATCACCCACCTCCGGAACACCTACTCAAACTTCGTCGACTGCTTCCGGATCGACCACTCCATCTGGTGGTACAGGTATTGCTTTTATTGAACAATATCTCTTGTTAGTTGATAGGGTAATCTCTTCATTACATTTATTTTAATATTATTTTAAACTGTTTACAGGTCCTTCCAGTGGATCACCAACCTCCGGAACACCTACTCAAACTTCGTCAACTGCTTCCGGATCGACAACTCCATCTGGTGGTACAGGTATTGCCGTTATTGAACCATATTTTTTTTCAGTGGATGGAGAAATCTCCTCATCACATATATTTGCATTTCAACTTTAAATGTTTTTCAATTATTTACAGGTCCTTCCAGTGGATCACCCACCTACGGAACACCTACTCAAACTTCTTCAACTGCTTCCGGATCGACCACTCCATCTGGTGGTACAGGTATTGCTTTTATCGAACAATATCTCTTGTTAGTTGATAGAGTAATCTCTCCATTACATTTATTTTAATATTATTTTAAAATGCTTTCCAAACTATTTACAGGTCCTTCCAGTGGATCACCAACCTCCGGAACACCTACTCAAACTTCGTCAACTGCTTCCGGATCGACCACTCCATCTGGTGGTACAGGTATTGCTTTTATCGAACAATATCTCTTGTTAGTTGATAGAGTAATCTCTCCATTACATTTATTTTAATATTATTTTAAAATGCTTTCCAAACTATTTACAGGTCCTTCCAGTGGATCACCAACCTCCGGAACACCTACTCAAACTTCGTCAACTGCTTCCGGATCGACCACTCCATCTGGTGGTACAGGTATTGCTTTTATTGAACAATATCTCTTGTTAGTTGATAGGGTAATCTCTTCATTACATTTATTTTAATATTATTTTAAACTATTTACAGGTCCTTCCAGTGGATCACCCACCTCCGGAACACCTACTCAAACTTCGTCAACTGCTTCCGGATCGACCACTCCATCTGGTGGTACAGGTATTGCTTTTATTGAACAATATCTCTTGTTAGTTGATAGGGTAATCTCTTCATTACATTTATTTTAATATTATTTTAAAATGTTTTCCAAACTATTTACAGGTCCTTCCAGTGGATCACCCACCTCCGGAACACCTACTCAAACTTCGTCGACTGCTTCCGGATCGACCACTCCATCTGGTGGTACAGGTATTGCTTTTATTGAACAATATCTCTTGTTAGTTGATAGGGTAATCTCTTCATTACATTTATTTTAATATTATTTTAAACTGTTTACAGGTCCTTCCAGTGGATCACCAACCTCCGGAACACCTACTCAAACTTCGTCAACTGCTTCCGGATCGACAACTCCATCTGGTGGTACAGGTATTGCCGTTATTGAACCATATTTTTTTTCAGTGGATGGAGAAATCTCCTCATCACATATATTTGCATTTCAACTTTAAATGTTTTTCAATTATTTACAGGTCCTTCCAGTGGATCACCCACCTACGGAACACCTACTCAAACTTCTTCAACTGCTTCCGGATCGACCACTCCATCTGGTGGTACAGGTATTGCTTTTATCGAACAATATCTCTTGTTAGTTGATAGAGTAATCTCTCCATTACATTTATTTTAATATTATTTTAAAATGCTTTCCAAACTATTTACAGGTCCTTCCAGTGGATCACCAACCTCCGGAACACCTACTCAAACTTCGTCAACTGCTTCCGGATCGACCACTCCATCTGGTGGTACAGGTATTGCTTTTATCGAACAATATCTCTTGTTAGTTGATAGAGTAATCTCTCCATTACATTTATTTTAATATTATTTTAAAATGCTTTCCAAACTATTTACAGGTCCTTCCAGTGGATCACCAACCTCCGGAACACCTACTCAAACTTCGTCAACTGCTTCCGGATCGACCACTCCATCTGGTGGTACAGGTATTGCTTTTATTGAACAATATCTCTTGTTAGTTGATAGGGTAATCTCTTCATTACATTTATTTTAATATTATTTTAAACTATTTACAGGTCCTTCCAGTGGATCACCCACCTCCGGAACACCTACTCAAACTTCGTCAACTGCTTCCGGATCGACCACTCCATCTGGTGGTACAGGTATTGCTTTTATTGAACAATATTTCTTGTCAGTTTTTTCAGTAATATCTTCATTACATTTATTTGAATTTGAGTTCTACCAATTGGTAGTTTCTCGTCATTTTGTACATGCCATGTTACCAATTTCACATTTACTTATTGTATTCTCTATGTAATACAGTTATAAATTCCATTAAAATAATATTTAAAAAAACATTTATTTGAATCAATTTTAAAATACTTTTAAACTATTTAAAGGTCCAACAACTAGAACATCACCTGACCAATCAACAACTGATACAGGCGCAACTTCTACTGGACCGACCACCCCATCTGGTGGTACAGGTATTGCTTTTATGGAACAATATCTCTAGTCAGTTGATGGAGTAATCTCCTCACCACATATATTTGCATATCATCTTTAAATGCTTTTCAACTATTTGCAGGTCCTTCCAGTGGATCACCCACCTCCGGAACACCTACACAAACTTCGTCAACTGCTTCCGGATCGACCACTCTATCTGGTGGTACAGGTATTGCTTTTATTGAACAATATTTCTTTTCAGTTGATGGAGTAATCTCCTCAATACATATATTTGCATATGATCTTTAAATGCTTTTCATCTATTTACAGGTCCTTCCAGTGGATCACCCACCTCCGGAACACCTACACAAACTTCGTCAACTGCTTCCGGATCGACCACTCCATCTGGTGGTACAGGTATTGCTTTTATTGAACAATATTTCTTTTCAGTGGATGGAGTAATCTCCTCATCACATATATTTGCATATCATCTTTAAATGTTTTACAATTATTTACAGGTCCTTCCAGTGGATCATCCACCTACGGAACACCTACTGAAACTTCGTCAACTGCTTCCGGATCGACCACTCAATCTGGTGGTACAGGTATTGCTTTTATTGAACAATATTTCTTTTCAGTGGATGGGGTAATATCCTCATCACATATATTTGCAAATCATCTTTAAATGTTTTACAATTATTTACAGATCCTTCCAGTGGATCACCCACCTACGGAACACCTACACAAACTTCGTCAACTGCTTCCGGATCGACCACTCAATCTGGTGGTACAGGTATTGCTTTTATTGAACAATATTTCTTTTCAGTGGATGGGGTAATCTCCTCATCACATATATTTGCATATCATCTTTAAATGCTTTTCAACTATTTACAGGTCCTTCCAGTGGATCACCCACCTCCGGAACACCTACACAAACTTCGTCAACTGCTTCCGGATCGACCACTCAATCTGGTGGTACAGGTATTGCTTTTATTGAACAATATTTCTTTTCAGTGGATGGGGTAATATCCTCATCACATATATTTGCAAATCATCTTTAAATGTTTTACAATTATTTACAGATCCTTCCAGTGGATCACCCACCTACGGAACACCTACTGAAACTTCGTCAACTGCTTCCGGCTCGACCATTCAATCTGGTGGTACAGGTATTGCTTTTATTGAACAATATTTCTTTTCAGTGGATGGGGTAATCTCCTCATCACATATATTTGCATATCATCTTTAAATGTTTTACAACTATTTACAGGTCCTTCCAGTGGATCACCCACCTACGGAACACCTACACAAACTTCGTCAACTGCTTCCGGATCGACCACTCCATCTGGTGGTACAGGTATTGCTTTTATTGAACAATATTTCTTTTCAGTGGATGGAGTAATCTCCTCATCACATATATTTGCATATCATCTTTAAATGTTTTACAATTATTTACAGGTCCTTCCAGTGGATCATCCACCTACGGAACACCTACTGAAACTTCGTCAACTGCTTCCGGATCGACCACTCCATCTGGTGGTACAGGTATTGCTTTTATTGAACAAAATCTCTTGTTAGTTGTTTTAGGAATCTCTTCATCACATTTGTTTTAATATTATTTTAAACTATTTACAGGTCCTTCCAATGCATCACCCACCTCCGGAACACCTACTCAAACTTCGTCAACTGCTTCCGGCTCGACCACTCAATCTGGTGGTACAGGTATTGCTTTTATCGAACAATATTTCTTTTCAGTGGATGGGGTAATCTCCTCATCACATATATTTGCATATCATCTTTAAATGTTTTACAATTATTTAAAGGTCCTTCCAGTGGATCATCCACCTCCGGAACACCTACACAAACTTCGTCAACTGCTTCCGGCTCGACCACTCCATCTGGTGGTACAGGTATTGCTTTTATGCAACAATATCTCTAGTCAGCTGATGGAGTAATCTCCTCAATACATATATTTGCATATCATCTTTAAATGCTTTTCAACTATTTACAGGTCCTTCCAGTGGATCACCCACCTCCGGAACACCTACACAAACTTCGTCAACTGCTTCCGGCTCGACCACTCCATCTGGTGGTACAGGTATTGCTTTTATGCAACAATATCTCTAGTCAGCTGATGGAGTAATCTCCTCAATACATATATTTGCATATCATCTTTAAATGTTTTACAATTATTTACAGGTCCTTCCAGTGGATCACCCACCTACGGAACACCTACTCAAACTTCGTCAACTGCTTCCGGATCGACCACTCCATCTGGTGGTACAGGTATTGCTTTTATTGAACAAAATCTCTTGTTAGTTGTTTTAGGAATCTCTTCATCACATTTATTTTAATATTATTTTAAACTATTTACAGGTCCTTCCAATGCATCACCCACCTCCGGAACACCTACTCAAACTTCGTCAACTGCTTACGGCTCGACCACTCCATCTGGTGGTACAGGTATTGCTTTTATCGAACAATATTTCTTTTCAGTGGATGGGGTAATCTCCTCATCACATATATTTGCATATCATCTTTAAATGTTTTACAATTATTTACAGGTCCTTCCAGTGGATCATCCACCTACGGAACACCTACTGAAACTTCGTCAACTGCTTCCGGCTCGACCACTCCATCTGGTGGTACAGGTATTGCTTTTATGCAACAATATCTCTAGTCAGCTGATGGAGTAATCTCCTCAATACATATATTTGCATATCATCTTTAAATGCTTTTCAACTATTTACAGGTCCTTCCAGTGGATCACCCACCTCCGGAACACCTACACAAACTTCGTCAACTGCTTCCGGATCGACCACTCAATCTGGTGGTACAGGTATTGCTTTTATTGAACAATATTTCTTTTCAGTGGATGGGGTAATCTCCTCATCACATATATTTGCATATCATCTTTAAATGTTTTACAATTATTTACAGGTCCTTCCAGTGGATCACCCACCTACGGAACACCTACTGAAACTTCGTCAACTGCTTCCGGATCGACCACTCAATCTGGTGGTACAGGTATTGCTTTTATTGAACAATATTTCTTTTCAGTGGATGGGGTAATCTCCTCATCACATATATTTGCATATCATCTTTAAATGTTTTACAATTATTTACAGGTCCTTCCAGTGGATCACCCACCTACGGAACACCTACTGAAACTTCGTCAACTGCTTCCGGCTCGACCACTCCATCTGGTGGTACAGGTATTGCTTTTATGGAACAATATCTCTAGTCAGCTGATGGAGTAATCTCCTCAATACATATATTTGCATATCATCTTTAAATGCTTTTCAACTATTTACAGGTCCTTCCAGTGGATCACCCACCTCCGGAACACCTACACAAACTTCGTCAACTGCTTCCGGATCGACCACTCCATCTGGTGGTACAGGTATTGCTTTTATTGAACAATATTTCTTGTTAGTTGTTTTAGTAATCCCTTCATCACATTTATTTTAAACTATTTACAGGTCCTTCCAGTGGATCACCCACCTCCGGAACACCTACACAAACTTCGTCAACTGCTTCCGGATCGACCACTCCATCTGGTGGTACAGGTATTGCTTTTATTGAACAATATTTCTTTTCAGTGGATGGGGTAATCTCCTCATCACATATATTTGCATGTCATCTTTAAATGTTTTACAATTATTTACAGGTCCTTCCAGTGGATCACCCACCTACGGAACACCTACTCAAACTTCTTCAACTGCTTCCGAATCGACAACTCCATCTGGTGGTACAGGTATTGCTTTTGTTGAACAATATTATTTTTCAGTCGTTTTAGTAATCTTTTCATTACATTTATTCGAATATTAATTTAAAATGCTTTCCAAACTAATTACAGGTCCTTCCAGTGGATCACCCACCTCCGGAACACCTACTCAAACTTCGTCAACTACTTCCGGATCGACCACGTCATCTGGTGGTACAGGTATTGCTTTTATTGAAGAATATCTCTTGTTAGTTGTTTTAGGAATATCTTCATTTTATTTATTGGAATATTGGAATATACATTTATGGAATCATCCGATCCCTCTGTCCAAGCACCAGCTCTACCCCTCATACACCCCCCTTTAATCACAATCATTTTTTTCTTTTCGTATATTACCCCTGACGACCTCCTTAAATCCATCTGCAAATCCCTAACCAAAGATTTCGGACCAGATAATATCCCAGTTAAATTAATTAAATCCTCACTTCCATCCATTTTCCCAGTCCTTTGTCATATCTATAATTTCTCAGTACAAAGTTCCACTTTTCCCAGCACCTGGAAAACCGCCCCTGTCCGTCCTCTTAACGAAATCTCTAACCCCACAACCCCTAATGATTTCCGTCCAATTTCCCTCTTGTCTAACCTTTCCAAACCTTTCTAGCGAATAGTACAATCTCAACTATCCCAATATCTTGAACAAAATAAACATTTGAACTGCTTCCAGTCTGGTTTTAGACCAGACTACTCCACTCATTCTGCCCTCATTAAAATCTCCCAAGATCTTCACACAGCCATAGATCAACAGAAACTCACCATTCTGATCCTTATTGATTTCTCTAAAGCATTCGACTCAGTTGACACTAATATTCTCCTATCCATACTTAAAAATATATCCTTATCATCCAGTACTCTTAATTGGTTCCAATCCTTTTTCAGCGATCGCTCCCAGTACCTTCTAGTTCCTAATAATCCTCAATCAATGTCTCTACCTCTGTCCCGAGGCTTCCCATAAGGTTCCTCATTATCCCCCACCCTCTTTTCCATCTACATTAATGACCTCCCTTCCTCTATCATGTCAATATCACCTATACCCCGATGACGTCCAAATGTATCTTTCCTTTAACCCGACAGATTCATCTAATGCTTTCCTGAAACTGCAACAAGACATCAATAGAATATGCGCATGGGCCAATCTTAATAAGCTGACATTGAATATGGAGAATACAAAAGCCATCCTGATCGGATCCCCCTCACTCCTCAAATCCATTTCAACACCTCCTAATCTTCTTCTGAACAACTTACCTATCACCTTCCATACCACTGTTAAAAACCTAGGCGTTACCTTCGATCAAAGTCTCTCCTGGAAACCACACATCTCCCAAATCTTCCGCCGTACTATATCCACCCTGAAACAGTTTAACCATCTACGTTATCTTCTTCCGTTCAAAACCCGTTAGCTCCTGGTCTCCTCTCATGTTTTGCCCCACTTCGACTATGGCAGCATGGTGTATGGTGGACTCTCGGGAGAACTCGAAGCCAAACTTAAACGTTTAATGAATTGCTCAATCCGCTTTATCTTCGGGATCTCAAGGGTACGCATATTACCAGTTCTACACCAAGTTGAAGTGGCTCTATCCGTCCTACCGCCGTCAATATTTTCTGGCTACCTTCCTATACCGAGCCATTACAACACGGCGACCTGCCTATATTCTATAGATCCTACAATTCAAACGCTCCTTTCAATCCCGTCTCACCAGATCCCGTGCGTCCGACCTCTATCCTCCCCCTCACCGAACTGCTGCATTTGATAAATCCTTTTTAATACAAGTCGTCTCCCTCTGGAACTCTATACCTTCAGATATTCGACACGCAAAATCGATATCCTCATTCAAATCCCTCCTCTACGAACGCCTACTCCATTCCCAATCCGATTGATCACGAAATGCACTTAAAAACCTCAAAGTAAACCCAGATACTCTAATTATTTTGTGATTCATCGATATTTCGTTCACTTAATTAATTTCTTTGTATTTTTTATATTTACATGTATTTATATCTTTTCATCATTTATAACTTTATTGTACTCTGAAACAACCTGTAAATATTAAATTGTATTTCATGAACACACCAAAATATTGATATATATATATTCTGTATTTGTGACTTGTTCTAAAGGGACACTTGTCCCAGAATAATAAAATTATTTTCATTTCATTAGTTTAAAATGCTTTAAAACTAATTACAGGTCCTTCCAGTGGATCACCCACCTACGGAACATCTACTCAAACAACATCAACTGCTTCCGAATCGACCACTCCATCTGGTGGTACAGGTATTGCTTTTCTTGAACAATATCTCTTTTCAGTTGATGGAGTAATCTCCTCATCACATATATTTGCATGTCATCTTTAAATGCTTTTCAATTATTTACAGGTCCTTCCAGTGGATCACCAACCTCCGGAACACCTACTCAAACTTCGTCAACTGCTTCCGGATCGACCACTCCATCTGGTGGTACAGGTATTGCTTTTATTGAACAATATCTCTTGTCAGTGGATGGAGTAATCTCCTCAATACATATATTTGCATGTCATCTTTAAATGCTTTTCAATTATTTGCAGGTCCTTCCAGTGGATCACCAACCTCCGGAACACCTACTCAAACTTCGTCAACTGCTTCCGGATCGACCACTCCATCTGGTGGTACAGGTATTGCTTTTATTGAACAATATCTCTTGTCAGTGGATGGAGTAATCTCCTCAATACATATATTTGCATATCATCTTTAAATGCTTTTTAACTATTTGAAGGTCCCACAACTAGAACATCACCTGACCAATCAACAACTGATACTGGCGCAACTTCTAGTGGACCGACCACTCCATCTGGTGGTACAGGTATTTCTTTTAATGAACAGTATCTCTTGTTAGTTGTTTGATTATTCTCTTCATTACATTTATTTGAATTTTAATTTAAAATGCTTTCCAAACTAATCACAGGTCCTTCAAGTGGATCCCCCACCTCCGGAACACCTACTCCAACTTCTTCAACTGCTTCCGAATCGACAACTCCATCTGGTGGTACAGGTATTGCTTTAATTGAACAATATTTCTTGTTAGTTGTTTTAGGAATCTCTTCATCACATTTATTTTAAACTATTTACAGGTCCTTCCAGTGGATCACCAACCTCCGGAACACCTACTCAAACTTCGTCAACTGCTTCCGGATCGACCACTCCATCTGGTGGTACAGGTATTGCTTTTATTGAACAATATCTCTTGTCAGTGGATGGAGTAATCTCCTCAATACATATATTTGCATGTCATCTTTAAATGCTTTTCAATTATTTACAGGTCCTTCCAGTGGATCACCAACCTCCGGAACACCTACTCAAACTTCGTCAACTGCTTCCGGATCGACCACTCCATCTGGTGGTACAGGTATTGCTTTTATTGAACAATATCTCTTGTCAGTGGATGGAGTAATCTCCTCAATACATATATTTGCATATCATCTTTAAATGCTTTTTAACTATTTGAAGGTCCCACAACTAGAACATCACCTGACCAATCAACAACTGATACTGGCGCAACTTCTAGTGGACCGACCACTCCATCTGGTGGTACAGGTATTTCTTTTAATGAACAGTATCTCTTGTTAGTTGTTTGATTATTCTCTTCATTACATTTATTTGAATTTTAATTTAAAATGCTTTCCAAACTAATCACAGGTCCTTCAAGTGGATCCCCCACCTCCGGAACACCTACTCCAACTTCTTCAACTGCTTCCGAATCGACAACTCCATCTGGTGGTACAGGTATTGCTTTAATTGAACAATATTTCTTGTTAGTTGTTTTAGGAATCTCTTCATCACATTTATTTTAAACTATTTACAGGTCCTTCCAGTGGATCACCCACCTCCGGAACACCTACTCAAACTTCGTCAACTGCTTCCGGATCGACCACTCCATCTGGTGGTACAGGTATTGCGTTTATTGATCAATATCTCTTGTTAGTTGTTTTAGGAATCACTTCATCACATATATTTGAATATCATCTTTAAATGCTTTTCAATTATTTACAGGTCCTTCTAGTGGATCACCCACCTCCGGAACACCTACTGAAACTTCGTCAACTGCTTCAGGCTCGACCACTCCATCTGGTGGTACAGGTATTTCGTTTATTGAACAATATCTCTTGTCGGTTGATGGAGTATTATCCTCACCACATAATTTGAATATCCTCTTTAAATGCCTTTCAACTATTTACAGGTCCTTCCAGTGGATCACCCACCTCCGGAACACCTACTGAAACTTCGTCAACTGCTTCAGGCTCGACCACTCCATCTGGTGGTACAGGTATTACTTTTATTGATCAATATCTGTTGTTCGTTGTTTTAGTAATCTCCTCACCACATATATTTGAATATCATCTTTAAATGCTTTTCAACTATTTACAGGTCCTTCCAGTGGATCACCCACCTCCGGAACACCTACTGAAACTTCGTCAACTGCTTCAGGCTCGACCACTCCATCTGGTGGTACAGGTATTTCTTTTATTGAACAATATCTCTTGTCGGTTGATGGAGTATTATCCTCACCACATAATTTGAATCTCATCTTTAAATGCTTTTCAACTATTTACAGGTCCTTCCAGTGCATCACCGACCTCCGGAACACCTACTCAAACTTCGTCGACTGCTTCCGGATCGACCACTCCATCTGGTGGTACAGGTATTGCTTTTATTGATCAATATCTCTAGTCAGCTGATGGAGTAACCTCCTCACCACATATATTTCAATATCATCTTTAAATGCTTTCCAACTAATTACAGGTCCTTCCAGTGGATCACCCACCTCCGGAACACCTACTCAAACAACATCAACTGCTTCCGAATCTACCACTCCATCTGGTGGTACAGGTATTTCTTTTATTGAACAGTATCTCTTGTCAGTTGATGGAGTAATCTCCTCATCACATATATTTGCATATCATCTTTAAATGATTTTCAATTATTTACAGGTCCTTCCAGTGGATCACCCACCTCCGGAACACCTACTCAAACTTCGTCCACTACTTCCGGATCGACCACTCCATCTGGTGGGACAGGTATTGCTTTTATTGAACAATATTTCTTTTTAGTTGTTTTAGTAATCTCTCCATTACATTTATTTAAATTTTAATTTAAAATGATTTCCAAACTATTTACAGGTCCTTCTAGTGGATCACCAACCTCCGGAACACCTACTGAAACTTCTTCAACTGGTTCCGAATCGACAACTCCATCTGGTGGTACAGGTATTGCTTTTATTGAACAATATCTCTTGTCAGTTATTGTAGTAATCTCTTTACCACATTTATTTGATATTATTTTAAAATACTTTTAATCTATTTACAGGTCCTTCTAGTGCATCACCTACTCAAACTTCGTCTTCTGAATCCACTGACTCATCTGTGACTAGAGGTATTTTTACTATATTTATAATTATACTGATGCATAGGAAACCAATACAAAATAGGATATTTGCAATTTTTTTTCTTTTTAAATCATCTATAAGCTTTTTTTCTTTTAAGTGAAAGCTTCTTTTTCCGCGTTTTGCACCTTTTATGTGGAGACTGAATTAGATTGAACCATCAGATTTATGATGTGTAGTTCTCGCGTAAATTCTGCTAGAATCTATTAATTTAAGTGTTTTTTTATATTGATTAAAATATCTCAGAAACTAAAAATCGGACCTCCATACTGTAAGCCAGGGGATTGTTCAGCATTCCATCCTCTCTGTAATATGATATTATTCAAAATTGTATCTTAAAGTGACGCCGTGGTATACGGGCGAAAAGGGAAAAAATAATGTCGAAAACCAAATTATAAAGAGTCTGGTCTCTCTTACATGGCGATGCGTCTCTTTCACGCAAAAACACTTTAGTTAATGGACTCGAGCAAACTTAACCCGAATGAGCTTTAAGCCCAGTTCATACTAGTAGACATGTTGCGCGAATTCGTCTCTGAGGCAAGTCTCAGTTTGTCTACGTAGTCATGTCTTTAGAACAATGCTTATCTAAATTCCTCTTCTTCTTCTTTTTATTGTGACGCTACAACTCGGTTATAACGTCACCTGGTCTCCTCCAACCGGCACGGTCTTGTCAGGATACCAGTTAATTAACGTATGGCTTTCTTCCCACGTTGAAATCTCTACTTTCTTTGTTATGGCGCGAATTTGTTTCTGAGGCAAGTCTCAGTTTGTCTACGTAGTCATGTCTTTAGAACAATGCTTATCTAAATTCCTATTCTTCTTCTTTTTATTGTGACGCTACAACTCGGTTATAGCTCTTGGTCTCCTCCAACCGTCACGGTCTTGTCAGGATACCAGTTAATTAACGTATGGCTTTCTTCCCACGTTGAAATCTCTACTTTCTTTGTTATGGTGTAGTTGTTCCATATTTTCAAGCTCCTCCCTCTGCCTCTGTCGTTTCTTTTTGCGATGTAACCGCTTCTCTGCTTTCCTTCTCTGTCGGTATTCCGCAGACAACAGACTTCCTTGTGGTTGTCCTAACCATTGTTTCGTACGCACTGTTCTTGCAGTTCGTGGCTGCTCTGCATTCATCGTCTAACCAGGGTGACCTTTGTTCCTTCTCGTGTAGCCCTAGTACTTCTTCGGCTGCTTCCACTATTGCTCCATAACAGTGCAACCAAAACTTTTCAATGTCCTGGCCATCATATTTTCAATATATTGATATACTATAATATATAATATATTCAATATACAGCATATCATTTCATTTTTTTTTTTTATTAATAAAATGTTTTTTAAGCAATTATTTTTATTACAATACATCCCATATCACGGAAAAACAAGAAATAAAAGCTTTTTAACAGTTAATGTCATAATTTTTGCACAAAACAGGGGTACTTTAAGGAATCACATCATTTCTTTACGCAACTTGAGGTGATTCTCAAAATTTTCCAAATAAACATAACTTAATTAATATGAACTTACAGCTTATTAAACGAGCAAGTTTTTGTAAAAGTGGAGTAAATATAGTACAGTTGAAGAGTGATAAAAAAAAAATCACAAATAATTTATGACTTTTTTAAACGAAACTTAGCTTGAAACTTTGTCCGCTCAATAATCCTCTTTAAAGAGTTCGTGTCGTTTTTATTATATCTTACACACCGTATTTTTTTTATATCTTTTATAGGCTCGACAACTGTATCTACAACTGCTAATCCTCCTATCGACCCATCGACATGTCCAGGAGAGTGTAATGAATGTGGTAATCAGAAACAATGTGAGTTGACCGAAGATGATAAGCCGTTCTGTGCTAAAAGACTAATCATGGAGGACGATGACGATGAAGATGATCATCATGGCGATGAAGATAAAAAACCATGGTGTTTTGAGGAACATATGTTTGAAAATAGATGCGCAATGGAAAATGCAAATCTCTGTGGTGGAGGTATGTAGTTGTTTTGTTTTTCTGTCTGCTTAATAAAGTTAATAGAATCATAGAAAGTAAGTTAGTAATGTATAACAGATCAGACTTGAGCAGTATTTCAAATAAAGTATTTTTAATTAAAATTGGACTGACAGTCTCAATTTTAAACAATTTGGAAAATTCCTGATTTTTGGAAAGAATGCATGACAAGCTCAGGAGCACCGAGAGAATATATAGTTTTCGGCGGCCATATGGCTATTTTGCCAGGATATGAGTTTTGTTAATTTTATGTCAAACTTTAACAATACTGAATAATTGTTCAGACATAATAATCCTGCAATTTATCACCCTAAAACTCCTACTCTACACTAACTGAATAATTGTTGAGTGCTGCTAAGCAAAGTTCACATTGATGATTAGTTCTTAGAATTCAACCAGCATTGTTTGGACTTGATAAAAAACCCGAAAATGACCTTATTTAATAAGGTATCGTTATTAAAAAATATATATTGATAAGGAAAAGGTTAAATCTTAGGCATCAGCAAATTAACTTCATTTGCTACTTTGATTACCGAAACTTTGTCACCTTCAATAAGTTATATAGCATTAAGAAAAAAAGCTGCTTGATTGTATACAAACTGCTAGCACGAAACATTTAATTCTTAAAAACTGTGTTATTATTGAAGTAAGAAATTAGATGTCTAATGTACCGTAAAATTATTCGCTCTCAAGAATATGTATTTAGAACTAAATTTTCAACCTTTAATTATCATTATATAAAATTAATCATTGCAACAAAAAATTTGGATGAATTAATATAAATCTTATTTTCAACATATTTAAAAATTATTTTAAATACAACAAACAATGGCAATCACCTAAACCATAGTAATCATATGAACCCTTTAATTTTTTTATTTTTACTGTCAATAACTTTTTTTTTTTTCTTTTTCAGGGTGGTACCCTTGCTGCTGGGATGTACCTATACCTCATCATTAACAATATTATTATAACATCCAGAAAAATGTAATATTTACAATAAATAATTCTTTTGAAGATATTACTTTACATTATTTAATATTACCTCAAGTACATTGTTTAAACATGTTTTATAATAGTTTAAAGAAAAGACTAACTATTTTTTAATCTTTTTGGCAAAAAACATTCTTCAACCATAGTATACACTTTAACTAATCTAACATTTTTTCTCATTTAAGCAGAAAATTTTTAAACACATAAACAGTCTTTCAAACATGATGCATAGATAAACAATTATTTTGCCTACTATTCATTAAAACAATAACTTTAAATTAAAAGTTTTTTATCATAAACATAAAAAAAAAAATCATAAAAACACTATTTGTTGACCCATACCACACAATTATTTTATAGTCTACTCAATACGGCTTTAAGGATTTAGATGGTTTTAAGTTTTTTTTTAAGATAAATCAGTTCTCTAGAATCATTCCAGTAAAACAATGGTCATATTGATTTTCATGAATGCTTTTCATAATTATTACATGAATAGAACTCCTAATTCAATAAAACAGTGGAAATGCTCTGTGCACATGTAGCTTTTCCATCCTGGATAAAAAGTTATTTAGTAATAATCCAAACATTCTAACCAAATTCAGAGAATATACTAAACTCGATAAATAATAATCATCTAAAAATTCAACAGCCAGACATGCAATGACAGTAATATCATAAATAACACACCTTCAGCCAATCTTTAAAAAAATATATGAAAAAAACAGGAAGGATTTGTCATATTTAGGAAAATACACTTCTTTATGAAATTTCCATCCATAAACATATCCAAAACAATGTTATTGTACCATAAGTATAAGAGAAATCATATTCCAAGAATGGCACAGACGGTGGGACAACATCAAACTAAAGATGATAAAGAAATAAGAGAAACCACGAAACAGCTCCGAACGCAGCAGTCATAGAGAAGAAGTTGTTCTCACATGCTTGAGGGTCGGTCATACCAGACTTAAACACCTCCACCTTATAACAAAAGATTTTATACCCAGGTGTCGAAAATGTGACAAGATAAAATCTAAAACATGTTTTAGAATCATGTCAATTTTAAATCACAAGATTAAAAGAAGTTGGGATACCCCGGAGCACAGGCAGATCTACTGGAGAGGCTTTCGGGCAGATCTACACGCAACTCCTTCCCAAAACAATAAAATGTCAAATGAAAAATATAATAAAAATTATCTCTAAAAGTATTATTGATTGTGTAATTACATTTAATAGGACTTTAAGAATCATTACTTATTTATTTGATGGTTCATACATAGTTAATACATTTCTCAACATAACAAAACTCCAGGAACTTTCTCAATTTCCAATTCAATTTGGTGCTACTTTCACCATCGTAATGTTTTATCTTGGATATTGGAATCCAAGAGTCATATAAAAAAAACATACTAACATTAAGTTATAATATACTGAGCATTGCATTTACATACAAAAAGCAGCTGCGTCGATAAAAGTGTAAAAGAAAAATATACATACACTCATATATATACATAAAATATACACTATATATAAAGTAATTTTTAGAACTACTGAAGTAGCAACCCCTCCACAACATAAGTCATAAGAAAGTAATACGTAAGTAAATAAAAAAATAAATAAATAAAAAAATTAAAGATAAAAATAACAAATAAAAATAAAATAAAATAAATAAATAGATAATTTAAAAAAAAAAAAAAAAATCAACGTAAATTATGGCACCGATAAAAGCATTGAGTATCATGCTATAAAGGAGGAAGCAGCCTGAACCAATTATTGTAATTCATGTGGGAACCTTTAAGAACTCTCACGGTAATGGCGTTCATCGTTCTCTTGGGGATGCCCAACATATCCATGTTTTGGAAAGAGCGTCGGCAACATACTCCTATCCAAGTTATTGTGAGCCGGAGTACTTTTATGTCCACGCCTGACACTCCAAGTGTACGCCTGATCGCCATTCTACAATCTAGGTCCCTATATTTATTGGTTTTAACATTGTTCCAGTGGGTGGTGCTAGGGTTATCTCCAACAACCTATGCATCCATAATGAAGCTTCCGCTTGGTCCTGAGCACAACAGGTCTTGGTTCCACCTTCGTCTATTACCAATAAATATTTGTTCCTTTAAGATCCTGTATCCTTTCTTTTGGAGAGCAATTTCCAACATGTTCACCACTGTATCATGCCGCCGCACTCTGCCACCGTGAGACAAAATGCAGTGTTGTATAATGTGATTGGCAGTTTCGCTTGCAGAACACCCTACTCTACATTGGGTCGGCATAAATGCCCTATTTCCTCTGGATAATCTCACTCGGGTTGCGAGGGCATTTATGTGGGTTCTTACCATTTGTATGAAAGTCCGTCTGGTTACCGGAGCAGCGTAGTCTGTCAGCCAATTAGTTGATGGATGGCAGTTTTTTTACTCCCTTAATGCCTTACTATGCGAAATGTTTTCCGAGTTGAGGCCCATTTTCGTGAGGTTGCTTGTGAGTTTTATCATATTTCCTTAGTAATAAAGGAGGTATAATAGGCGGCTCTTGCTACTGGGCAACCAGAGTACTCCATACGTCGTAACATTGTGAGCTTCAGTGAGGATATAGCACTGCTAAAGCTCATTACGCCCAAACCACCATCAGTTCAAGCAGAGTGGAAATATTGAATAGAATCACTTAAACACTATTTCATGTAGGTAGGTAATTTCCTTCTTTTTCTTCCAGAGTAATTATTTTTTATATATATATATATATATATATATATATATATATATATATATATATATATATATATATATATATGTTTTCGGGCTGAAGTTCCCTCACAAAACTAAATCCTGGAACCACTAGTGCCCTTGAATATATCAGCATCTCAGAGAAGGCAGGAGGAAAAAGTAAATGAAGTTATCTATTTTCAACACAATTAAAAATCGTATAAAATATATTTAACAAGCTTACAAGAGATGATCCTCTGCCAATCCTTCACTATTTTCTTTCATGCCTTTTTTTAGAGTTTATTAATTTTTTTAACCTACCAGCTGAATAGTTTAAAAATAGCATTATTTTTTTTTATCTGGTGTTGATCATCTGGATGTTTGGTGCCCAAACATCAAAACAACTATCCAAACAAACATGTCAAATTATAGATATTACCTCCTTTCATTTCAATGTGTGTCTTAATTCTTCTTTTTTTTATTTGTAAATGTTATATATTACAATAATATTAATGTTCAACGTAGTACAAAATTGTTGCTGTAGCTTGCAACGTTTCTCCTCATGTCTTAGTTAATGAAGTAGGAAATAAAAGAAACCGTTTTGTTCTTAAGTCCTAAGGGAGATTATTATTTAATGAGGTATATGAATTATTTTATATATTAAAAAGAATGGCAAATCTTATGGATAAATGAAAGGATATAAAGATAATAGGTAAGATTAGCAACTTAATAGTAATTTGATATATAAAAATACATGCATTGTTTAAAAATATATTTATATATAAAAAAAAATTTGGAAGAGGAAGGCTGTCAGATTTTCTTATACCTTTGGATAATATAATTTGGGATTTTAGGAAATTAAAGAAAACAATTAATAGAACAAATATAATAAATATTAAACAGTTAATAACATAGTATTTAAATGAAACAACACTACATAGTTAAAGAAAAAAAAAGTATACATAGTAACTCTGTAAAGATATTTCAACAAAATTAATGCGATACTGTTCCTCAACCCACTTAATAATTTGCTAATAGGTCAACATCAATCCTACCATCAGTCCTACATCATAGGTCTACATCAGTCCTACCGTCAGTCCTACACATGATAATAAAGCTCTTAAAGCAAAAATGAAAACAAAATTTTTTTAAAAGGTGTAATGTAAAACTGCCTAAATTCCAAATTTAACTTAAAAAAAAACAGTTCCCCGTGCCTGACATGTCAGTTTCATTACTTTAATCAGACCATCTGGTGATAGTTAACAGTCATCGACATGTGCAGATTAATATTGAAAGATAAAAAAAAAAAAAATCTTTTAAAAAAGAAATCGACTTTGGGCAGATCAGATATTTTTACAAACCAAATGAATGAAATACTTTCAAAATAATTAAATCTAAAATTAAAATACCTGATTATACAATTTCGGCAAACTAATAAGTTATAGTAATGAAGCCACACCATCTCTAATAAAATGGTGAATATAATTCACTAAAGAAAACCATTGGAACATGAAACAGTATTAAAAATAATTGCCAAAAACTTCTCATACAATTCTGAACTTTTTATGAATCATGAAGTTAAAAGAATTTGATGCCAAAGCTTGATGTAGAATCAGACTTGTCAAAGAATTGGTAAACATTTATATTACTAATTATAACAATACTATTAAGTATTAATAGGAAAAAATGTTATTAGATTAAATGTTTACATATTAAATTATGAAGAGAATAAATTTTTAATCAAATTTTTAAATTTTGCAAGATATCAGCCTAAAACAATCGATTTGATTAGTTGGTTACTGAAACAGTTAATTTCCTTCAAACATTCCTACACAAGGCCATTAAACAAAATTTAGGACTAGACTAGCTGTATATACAAATCATTTCTCAATGTTCTGCAGTCCACACGTCAACATGTTCCTATCAAACCACATCAAAGTGAAAAATTTAATATTTGTTTAATTTAATTTTGGTATATTAATTAGGAATACACAGTCATACAATTATGAAAAATTATAAAATACAGAAAAAAAATGTCAAGTGACCAAGGAATAATACTGTGGAATCTATGACCAGAGTCCATATTTGTATTCAGTAAAAATGCACAAAACATGCCATATTAATTAAAAACCATAAAGTATACAACAACAAAAAATAAATAAAGATGCTATAAAAATAAAATAAAGATGCTTTAAAAATCTCCAAATATGCAATATTTGCTTTATGCTAAAATATTTAATTACATTAACGATCCTAAAAAAAGTTCTGAATACAAAATATAAATCAGAGGAAGGATTAGAATTTAAATTAAAATGATATAATTTTTATCATCATAAA